ATAGAAAATATTTCTACTATATTAACGCATTAATGAGTCAATGACTTAAGGCCTTTATTTAAAGTAATGGCTTACAAATATTTTCTACTATATGATTATTGGATATTTATTACATACCATATGCACGGAAAAATAATTTTTCAATAATATTATCACTCTGTGCTTAATTTGTCTGATAATACATATATAAAGGACTATTTACAAAATTATACTGTATTGCCGTATTGTAATTTCGGCAACTGGAATATTAATTTGAAAAATAAAAAAAATATGGCAGTTATATATACTTCTGAGGCCTTATTGGATATTTATAATTGCCTTGAATATTCATTAAAATTTATTTAAAACACCTCCAGAACTTTATTTCAAAGACAAAAATTGAAGTTATTTGGTTATTTGAAGTGGAAAATATATTCAGCAAAAATGTACTTTAGTATCGTTGCACATATGAGATTTTCCCTAGCAGTATAATTTTGCTCGTATATTTCTTGGAATTATAGAGTACAAAACAATGTGATCAACAATCTCGCAGCATTATACTTACAAGTTATATTTATATGGCGTTAAAGCTGTTAGCGCTTAATTTTTTTCTTTCAATTTGTATGCCCGATTGGAAGATGTGCATTTTGAGACTCAGTGTGTGTTGCTATTGTACCATCCATAGATACTAAATAAAGCTCTATTATATTTATGGTAACTAAGGTGTTTACCCTACAATCTTTGTTAACTACTAATGTATAATCAACGAGTTCAAAAGACAATTATATACCTTTTTTCAGAAACGTAAGAGTCTACAACTGAAACTAAAAAGGGTAAAAGATGAGATTATTTTTAATTAATTAATTATGTATAGTGTTTTTGCATTAAGAGAATATTGATTCTCGGAGTGAAAGCATGCCTAGAAATGTAAATTTCAGCGAAGAAATTGCAAACACGGTCGTTGGTCAGTTTGAAGTTTACTTCTTTTTGGTCTATAATACAACCATAATGTAGGTATGTAGAAAACTAGTGTTCTAGATTTAAGTTAGGTAGATAAGATTAAAATGAAATCGTAGTAGCTCAATTTATAATTTGGCTAGACTTATAATTAAAGTATATTTTAGTTATGTTGATATCCATTCTATAAATGTAGTAGAGTGACCAGTGCTACATTTTCATTTTACTTGACTGAATTATTTATCGTTTGTGATGCTTCATATACACCAGATACTGTTATTTTTGTCCACAAGCGTATAATTATTAATAACTAGCGGCCCGGCTTCGCACGTAATGGAAGTATTCATACGGATCCCTAACGTTTTTGAAAATATTCTATTACCTTTGTTCATAAGCGATACTGTAGGGTAAGCGGTAAGTGATAGTCTAATGGTAAAACAATACTTGAAATCAATCGAGTAGATTCAGAGTCTATTCATTGTCAACAAACAAGCAATCAAATGTGTCCTTTATAATAATACTAAGATTTATTTCCACCACAAATAACATTATAAAAGAATGTACAATAAGATTATCCTATTAAGAGTCATTTGTGGGAGACAAGTGCATATGTAGGTTTAACCCGTATTATAGGTCACCAGGCCTATTAGTATAGATATCCAAATACAAAGCTTCAACAAAATAAGCTTTAGTGTACTTACGTTCAAGGCTAATAACTACCACACACACAATAATAACACAACATACATATATTGCTTTTATTTAATAAAATTATAGCCAAGAGAGTTTCAACCTTCAGATTATTGAGCTAAAACATGTATAAAATTATTTAATAGTCACAAATCACAGGAAGATGTTTATCACTATAGACAAAAAAATAATATAATTTTTCTACGTAGGTCTAAATCGAACTATAGACATAATATCACCACTGAAAGTCCTACATTACATTTAGTTCAATTAAGATATTAAAAATCTCAAATACTATTAGTACATAATATCTAAATTGAGTGACATAGATTACATTTATTAACTACTTTATCCTAATACTAAATATATATGTATGTTTTCTAATACAGTCGTACTGAAACTTAGGCTATAACAAGTTATACCTATCTAATAATACTCTAAGCGAATTAGAAAATAAATAGCATTTTAAAAAGAAATGAACTATATCGACGCTTAAGAACCAAGATCTACAAAAAGTCGATTTTACAGGAGACGAAAAAAACGTTTCATATGTTTTCTACAACATTTTTTTTTATTTTTATATCTGATCATTTTATAGATAGGCATGGGAAATAAGGTGTTTACATGTATTTAAAAAAATAATGAAGATTTTTTCAAAATTACTGTAGATAGCTGGTATTAATTAAAATATTTGCGTATGTTTATGCAGCTAACTCCAATATAGACGGCGGTGTTGGCAAACGAAATAAATTAGATTAAAGACTTTAATCAAACAAAATCTCTTAGTTTTATTAAATTTTCAAACGAGTAATTACGTGTTCTCTGTAGATAGGTTGTATTTCCATACAAATATTACGACACGTAACTTTGGTAGTATATGTATTTTCTCACAACTCCTTATTTATTACGCACTTGAAGTAATCGATTAAAGAAAACAATGCGTAAATTAACCATGAAAAGAACTGCATTAAAAAGTGAAAATCGCCAAAAGTGTAGAGAGATGGTCTTGGTTCTTAAGCGTCGATATATCGACGCGATTGTAAAGCCAGCGCCAGACATGTATGCACACAAATGGTACATGAATAGAGTGAACCTTTGGAAAGGACATAGGACAGTTTTTGTCATGAAAAATAGGCTTAATGGGATTCCAGGCCAGCGAATCACGGGCGGAAAGCTAATAAAATATAAACGTACAAATGTGTGTACTCTTTTGTGATCAAATAGGTGCGTACCAGTCTGGCGCCTGTCTAAGGCTAATTTATCTTAGCGACGTTTTCAAAATTAATATAACATATTTGAAATCACGATAATTTGCCGATCGCATACATTTGAGGAAAATGCCGTGAGTTAAATCAGAATTTTTAAAATAAACACCCATATTTTAAGCTCTACTATTGCGACATTTTTACATTGACAATCATTATAAAGTTGGCGCTGTTGTTTGATACACTACATATATTCAATTTAAAGTTATGTTAAACATGAATATGGGTAATAATTGAAATTTTAATTTAAAAAATATAGTTACTACAAAAACCGAAAACAAACTTCGACTTTGAAACGCTAAAGGCATTCAATTTCAAAAAATTCAATAAAAACAAAAAATATAAATTAACAAATGAAATTGGCTAAGCTTAAATAAATTACAGAGAATTATAAATAAACAACCCCCGCTTAAATAAATTAAGTGCAAATGGATCTAATAAATCTAAAATGCCTAATTATCAATATCACAATACGCTACTTGTTACGATGTAGAGATGAGGCAACATCAAGACACCAACAGTAACTACAGATTAATATGCAGACTACGGTATTGTGTAAATTAATATTACAGTCATGTGTATATAAGTACAGAACATTTTTTTTTAAAGGATGTCAGTACTCTAATTCACAGAACAGTTCTTGTTCTTGGGGATGTAGGCCTGATATATAAACCGTTAAAAACTAAATATAATATATTTTTTTAAATTAACTATATTATGAGATGAGACTTATTTAAGTTGTCGATGGATCTTAATGTATATTACATGAGTACCAGTTATTAATCTAAAACAGCGATATTATAACAATTATTGAACATTGTAGTAACTACTTGAAAATCGGTAAACATTTATATATTACGATGAATAGACATCTAAGTAATTTTATGGCTGTACGGATGGGAACCTCATAGCATGTGTATAACACGTCACAGGTATCAATCTTAGTCGTGAACTTACGCAATAACCATTAGGCAACATTCACTTTCTCATTATGATCATTTAAAGTTGTAATTATTAATGCTACAACAAATAAATATTAACAAATAGGTACTTAATTATAGCATATTTCGTTATTGTAAGTGTTCAATTACCTGAATTGTCAACTACATTAGAAAATAATAATAAATTATATCATGACTCAGTGATTTGGTTTATAATCAGGGAAGTTTGCTGTAACTTGGCTCTTTAAAAATATCTTAGAAATCAAAAGAACCGCGATCTATTCCGCAAAACATAGTAGGTATACATATTATTATCTGCTTAATTAAAAACTATATTCTAAAAAAATAATTTACTAGAAATTTGAAATTGTCTTATTTCTAAAGCATTTAAGAAAATGCAACTTTCCACTGAGCGTATTGTACGCTGGTACTACACAAACATAAACTACATAATATTACAGAAACCCTATAAGTAATATTAATTATATGGTGTTACATTTTCAATGCATATTTTTTAATTCAAGGCATCCAAACTCTTAAAAAATAAGAGTTCTAAGCGTATTCAAGTACCGCAACGGTAGTCCCTATATAGAAAACTTTATCCCACTATTTTGCAGTCGGAATTTATAGAAATCAATGTATTTTATTATTCATAATTATTTTAACCTACCATTTTTGTAGGTATTTATATATTCGTTGATTAATATAAAGTACTTTGAAGAGAAAGTCGGCAATGTTCCACATAAATATTTATGATTAATGAAGAAGGCTGTACCAAAATAAAAATATATGATATGTTTATTGCAGCAATCAGATAAAAAACTTCATTAAACATCGTAGTAATCTAAAAAAAAATTGTTCCCAGAGTAAGTAACCAATATATTAAGCTAAAATTCGTGATTGTTATTAAAAAAAAGATTTTAAAAGGTAATCAACAGAAATGCGAGATATGACAATAATAGTATAATTAGCGTAAATATTTTTCTTGTAAAGCACAGTAATAGGCACCAACTTGTACCTGTTAAAATAAAAATTGACTGCATAAAGACTACATCTTATATTTAAAAACTTGCCGTTTTCCTGTGATTTCCCGCGTGAGTTACCTATAGACTATGACACCCGCTTATTATGTAGCTTCCTGTAGGTGAAAGATTTTTTTATTTTTTTTAACGGCCCAATAATTTCGAAGCCTATTCAATCCAAACAAACAGTTACATCTTTCTATACTAATATTTAGTATAAGTAAGAAACGAAGTATGCCTATTTTATTGGAATTCGATTAGTTAACATAGTATCGTTCAGTCAATATCATCAAAATCTAAAGAAAATAATATATAACTTAAAATTACCCTTGGATTATGTTTGTACTCTATGTGCCGTAATCATGATAAATCATCCTAAGAAATTGGTACTATGAGTGAATTAATTAACTTATTTTATAATAAGACTTACAAAAATAACTACAAAGTTCTAATATACACTGCATTCGTCATTTTGAAATTCATGTATAAAGAATTAGAGTGCTAAATTGAGTTCTTTAAAAAACTATAGTAATACTTATGAATTCCCAAACATAGCTGTATTAGTTTCATGTAAGCTTAATTTTTCAAAAGAGGTCGATCAGCATCCGAGTCCTTAGCTCGATGTACAGGTCGTGTGTTGGGTGATGCAGCGTCTCCATTAGCAATGAGAGTATCACTGGCACCCTCCTCAGCCACTGCTGCCTCGGCCTGCGGGGGGGCACTTCATTTTTAATAGAAATAAAAAGAAATGACAAATCTGAACCCCAAAAAAGTTTTCAAAATCATATATATATACTCGTACTATGTAATAATTTGAATAATACAGAGAATAGAACCAAACCCTATTCTGATTTTGAAAATAATTATATTGCATTAAATAGCAAGGACTTGATGCTTGCTCCGAGCTTTATATTCACATATTTTATTTTATTAAGATATGGCTTTCTACATATAATAACAACTGCTTCTGATCACTGATAGGTCACCCGTACGAATTAATATGACACCTGATTCTTTTTGCCTTCGACGGGAAATTCGGAAAATTTCGAATCGTTCTTATTATAATTTTGTCAAATATATCCGTTAAGCTAATCTGTGTAACAGAGGCAGTGTCAGCGCCTACCAAAGTTGCATCGTTAATTATCGAAAAATGCGTTTCTTTGGAGTTGTATTAACATTTCTTAAATAGACGATATTTCATTTTCGGAGAAATAGAATAGGCTTTTAAGTGTCATATTAATTCGAACACTTTGTCTCTTCTTTTCTTTATTTTAAAGTTTATTACTTGCCATGAGCGTTGTCGCTAGGTATATGAATGCAGATATTTGCCTCAAATGTCAAAGAATCCTTCTTCATAAAATAATTCAAAATTATCACTATCAAACTTTGAAGTTCAAAAGAATGAATACAAAAATTGCATTTGATTTGGAAGTAAACTAAAAAAAATCTTTAATATTTCTAGCTTTAGTTTACATCTTAATTAAATGATACAAAGGAAACAATGCTCAAATGATACATTTAATATACCTAAAGTATTAATAAGAGTAATATACAGCTTTTATGCGACTATAAAAAAAATTGCATTCGAGTTATTGTAACTTCAATTTTAACCACATAATTTTAAAACTTAAGTAACAACGCTCAGATACCTAATTAAATAGTTTAATCTCTTGTAATATAGAAATCTGAAGCGACGAAGAAAAAAATACGACACGCAGACCATAAACAATACAGAAAAGTTTACTTTCTGCATTGAACCGACCGGGAATTGAACCCGCCGCCCAGAGAGCTCAGAGATGGGGCAGACCTTGATCATTCGGCCATGGAGGTCGATCATCGAATATCGATGAAACTCTCATCCGTTTATATTACTTTCAAAATATGAAGCACGAACTCAAATCATTTTAACCACATAATTTAAACAAAACTAACGACCAATTACTTTATTTTCCAATACCATTTTGCGGTCGCTTTACATCTCAGTTTGAAGATGTTATGATTAAGTCTGACACATAATTGGTATATAACTATAATTGGTGTAGCAAATACGATAAAAAAAATCGTACTTTGGTATAAAATAAAATTTCTTCTCAGTTTTTAAGAAGCACATACATGATATTCATAATATTAAAAAAATCCTTATAACAGATTCAATTAATATTCCAAGTAACAACCGACTTTTTTAAGTTATTATAATAATGGAAAAACTATTATGTCAGACACTTAGATTCAAACGAGTGACAGTGATCTTTCGCTAACCGAGAGAATAGGGAAATCCAGGAAAGTATTTTAGAAAATAAAACACAGTGAATTTCACAGCAATCCCAACCAAACGAATTTTAAATGGATTTATGTATTAGGATCATATCTTACCTGATCTAGTCTCCCGGGTTTCCTCAACTCTTATCTTATAACAGAGTTATCAGAAACCATTCAAACGAGACTTAATTTCCCTAGTAAGATTTTCAACCTTTTCTGCATTTAAGCATATTTGCATCAATGTTTAGGAAATATACTTACTTCGATTCGATAGATATTCGAATGTCGATCAAAATGCACTTAACATCCAATACTGTATTAAACGTCGAGTGCCTTTTATTCAACCCCACGTATTAACATAGATACTGTATATTGCATTTTGATTGAATCCAATATAAAGCAAATTGAAAACAATGTAGTGTAAAGTAAGAGCTTAGGCCTCCCATGTAACAACAGCCTAAATAAATATTTTTAAAACAATTAGGTAGAGGTCCCTGAATTAAAGGGCTTGTTTATTTCAAACATTATTTTAAGAAAAATGAAAAAATGACATTTCTCTTAAAATATTACGGAAGGTATAATTGTTTATTATCATTTATTATTCCGAATTCAGCATTATTGTCGAAACAATGATTCATCTTGATGATGTTTTTACTTATTGTAAGTATTTGATCAATTTTGCATTCACATGGTAGCATGGAATATATTAAGGTATTAAATATATATTAATTATTATATATGGAATAATATATTAATATATACAGCAACTGGAATATATTTTTAAGGAAAAATGGGCGGTGGCCCGGATTGCGTAATGTCATGGGTTTGAATCCTATCTCAGAGAGCTATGGACAAGATGGATTTTTAAACATTTTTCATTAAGGATGTTTAATGAGGTTTGTTGTTGCATCCATTGTTGTTATATGACAACGATTCGAGCGGCCTAACCGTGCAGGGCGAAGAGGAAATCGGCCTGTCCGGGTAGACTGTTCGAAGCGAGTCCGATTTATAAAGAACTCCATATAAATTTCTTCGTTTTTCTTTTTTTCTTCTACACCATCATAATCCTTTAATATAATTATAAATATAAAAAAAAACACAGCATTACTTCATTAATGTCGAACCACATTTCTGCATTATTTCTTAATATCCAATACCTACAATTTAAAGGAAATACATGAGTTATATCTATTTTAAAGTAATAAAATTCAAGTATCAACGTGCATTTAAATTAAGAAAAGGAATTTTAAAAGGTATACATCTCGCTTACAATGTTTTATGAGTCACACAGTGTTACGAAACTGTGTTCACCAAACAACAATGTTCGTACTGTTTTGGCAACTGTAGTTACATACACATCATCATTCAACTATGCATATGGTTGTTTTAAATGCGAGTTTCAAAAACGCATCTTATTTAAATAAAATAAATATACAGGTACCAAACTCAACGGAAAATTGTAAATATAGTCAGTTCATAAACTAACCATAGTTTACGAGTTACTGCTATTTTACATTGTAACATTCCATTTATCATAAGCTGACAATTCTTACATATTTTAAGGTTATTTCCATATTTCATATTTCAAGCAAAAATGTTGTTGTAATGTAGTCCTAATTCTTACTACCTATAATATATACATATCGGAACAATAAATGAAATTATTGATGCGATTAATGCTTTAAAAATCTGAATTGTCAAAATGTTAGATACGAGTATCATGCATTATTAAAAAAAAGTAAACATATATGTCACTGTCAGACTAATCGTAGAAAAAGTATAAAATACTCGCAAATGCAAACTAGCAAATAACTTTTAAAGATAACAAAATCTACATGCTACACTTGTTTTGTTCTATATTTTGTATTGGTTTATAATATTAAAATTATTTCTTGCACAAAAACTTAGATACATTAGAAAGAAATCGACATAAAGGACAGTATACAAATTGCCTTATTGCTATGCAGTAATCTCTTCCAGGCAATCGAGGTGGTGATCAAGTAAAGCAATAGGTAAGGAACGATGAAATGGGAGTATGTGCCATAAGTAATATTAAATTAAATAGATTATTCCCTTTCCGAGTTTCATGCCGGTTCTTCTCGATACAAGGTCTCCCGCAATAGATTTACGAACCGATGGCTTAGAGTTTTGCCTTTCACAAGTGCTTATAACATACACATCATAGCACAGCCTATTCTGAATAAATGATTTTGATTTGATTGATTATGTAGATGATGATGTAGACGCAAAGAATCCTGGCGGCGTCCACGTACGCGAGTACCTTTATGTATTAGATTTTATACGTACTTGGGTTTTATTCGTGGTGGTAAGGGTGTCGTCACGTTTGCCTTGCAGGTAGTACGTCATCAGCTGGCCCTTACCCTTCACCGCCACTAGACCGCGCTGTTCGAAGAAGTACCCGAAACTCTCTAGTATTTGACAAGTTTCCTCTGTAACCTAACCAAATATTATTGTTTTTTTAAATGTTATACATAGTTTTCTTATTCTCTTAGAGGACACACAATACAACATCAGGGGAGCGACCGCCTAACTATCTCATTAAAGACAGTTAATGATGACTCTAGACATAGCTATAAAAACTATCTTAAGGATTCAATAGAATAGTAATATTTAACTAATCTATATTTTATTTATACATAACAAAAATAAAAAAAGGAACAAAAAAACCGAAAAGATAAAAAAGGTACCTAATTGTCTAATACCATAATTAATTGCAATCCCTTTCAAAGGTTTAGCGATTGTTATAGCTATTTATGGAATGTCTATCATTCCATATCTCAAGGCTACCACATTTCAAATAGTTACAGCGTGAGGTTCGTGAATATCTTTAAAATGTCAAATTGAAAGGGTTTGCGATAAATTTTAAAATTAGACAATTAGGTCCCAAGCCTACAACCACTAGATAGTTTACTCATAATTTTTAAATCTTTGTTATTTAGTTTCAGTCGGCTGTTCTGTGTTATGTAATATAAAATTTCATAATAAGAAGTGTCTTCCGTTTGTATAACATATAAGACTAACTCATTTCGTCTACTTTCGGTGCCAATACACGAATTAGATATTCGAGAATGTCAAAGGTAATAATTTCTTCACAACGCTATTAGATAACTGTCCGATTAGTACAAATATTAAACAGGATCAAGAGGTGAATAGGTGCATCATAGCTCAACGTTCGATTGCATGTTCCTATCTAACGGCACATAACTACGTTCACAGTTCGAATAAAAGCTTTGGTGGATGATCTAAAAGATATTAACATAAAAATAATTCTTGACGGCATTAACACATGTGTAGCATTTTTTTCAATACATATTGTTTTCACAATGAAGGGTGCTATTAATTTAACCAAGAAAGCATGTTAAAAAAGTTGAAAGCCAATAATGATGAAAGTGCCTTTACGTTACATGTTTAGAATAACGATAGCAGAAAATAGATCTAGGTTGACTTCTTTTTCATTTTATAGATAAATAGTCCATTAATGCCTGACAAATAATTTAGAGGTAAAAGTTTCGAAGATACAATGCTTCGAAGTGACGTCACGCCGTGTTACGGTAGCGAAAAACCTAATGGGCGCGTAGGCAACTTTTGTAGTATCTTTGTTATTTATGCATTTATGTTTATAGATTTCGATGAAAGTTTTTACGTTTTATAAAACTAGTTTAATTTTGATATGTATATCTGTTGTCAAGATAATTTCAGCTCAGGTATAAGCAGAGTTCGTCTTTTAATGGTCACAAGTCGATGGGATTCCATCTGGGTAGGATGTATATTTTCTAATGTATTTTATGTTTGATAAATATTGTTATGTTTCTTAATATAATTAAATAATGCATAATAATTCTAACGAACATATAAATAAATACCTGTATGCAACCCGCTTTGCCGGTACTTTCCATGCGGGAAGCGACATTGACAGTGTTACCCCAGATGTCGTAGTGCGGCTTGCGGGCACCTATGACGCCGGCAGTGATTGGTCCGTGGTTGACGCCGAGCCTCAACACGAAGTGGTTGAATGATTGCTCGTTGATGGCGGCCAACACGCGTTGTAACTCCAGCGCGAATTCCACGAGGCATGCGAGGTGCGCCCAACGAACCAACACACCGTCCGACGGCTGCAGTCATTATTATTATTATTAGCCTATTAATGCTCCCACTTGGGAAGATCCTAAATAACCTAGAGCTGTCAATTTTAAAATTGCTTTAGACGCAATCCCCTTCTATTTAGCATTTGAAAGAGATTTACTAACTTCACGCTACAACTATTGACATGTGACAGCAATTGGGTCTTATAAAGATTTTGCATTAATGGTTTTTGGTCATTCATATCATTATTTATTCCGGAAGCGTACTTAAAAGTAGCAAACATTTCTATCACAATCGCTACATATTTGAAAAGGATTGCGATAGATTGCAAAATTAGATAATTAGCCCGTTGGTTGGCAATCGTCCAAAGGGAAATAAAGAGCCTTGGAGTTAAAGGAGAAGACACCACCCAGCGGAGTACGTATACGTGGCTACGCACGATTAGGAAGCCCGACCCCATGTAACGGGGAAAGGCGAGGGTAAAGAAGAAGAAGAATGTTCTCAATGAAGAAGAAATAAAGCAAGAACAGGCCACACAATGTGGATTGGTGCATGCTAATTGCCAGTGGCGTATAACGTGCCTTAGAAAACATTTATAGCCTCCATTTGGTCCCAACTGGGAAGACCAAATGGAGGGTATTTTTTTTTGTTTATACACATTAGGGGCCCGTCTCCTATATCATTGATAGGGCGGCCGCAACAACCCTGCTAAGTACTTCAAAGAAAGTAAAAATATTTGTTGTTCCATTCGATGATCAACCTTTGTTTAACTTCCGCAAGCGCAGATGGTACGTGTAATTAATTAACATCCGCAAAATCACATATTTCATTTGAAAAAAAAAAATTGCAGAAATCAATTACGGTATATAGTTAAACTCATATTTGTTCCTTCATCATCCACTTTATTGGGTGTTAGGCATTTAAAGTTTTGCATACCTAATAAAAGTGTGTAATATTTACATATTAAGTATATGTCAAAAAAGTTATCATTACGCAATATTTTACAACATTCATTATAGGTCATTATTTTAAAGACTTGAATAAGTCTGATTCATTCGATTTCACTGAATACCTTGTAACAATGTCGTAGACTTGTAGATTTCTTAAAATTAATTAAATAACAAGTTCTTAATTTCAATAATTTATTATTTTAACTTGACCCATCGTGTATTTCGTAATACTTACCGATTCGTGTATTATTAAGTGGTATCTAATTCTGTCGTCATTAGTATCTATTGTGAAATTATTTTTATGTACCTATACTGTTTTATTATAATTTTAAACAAAGTGATAGGTAATCATCGCTGCTTATTAAAAAGGTCTTACTCTATATAATTATGGGAAATGTACTAACACTACTAATACAAGCTACTATCATGCATTTGACATTTTTAATTAATACTGTATATCAAACAATCATAAAGAAATATAGTCATTGATAATAAAACCTTAATGTTTAAACTTTTATGATCGAATGCTTGTCTATATTAATCAATAAATAAGGTAATGCGGTTCTATTATTTTTGAATATAAATACACTAAGCTAATATTCGGATTGGACGATTCTTTGGGGAAGTTAAGCGACTTTTGTATAGTGTTGCCCAAATTCAGTCTTGGTCTTGGTCTTGCATTTTTGCAAGACCAAGATCAAGAACAAGACCGCATATTTTAGCAAGACCAAGACCAAGACTGACCATGCAAGACTTGAGCAAGAACAAGACTAATCACGCAAGACTATTGCGTCTTGCAGCTAGGACTTAGCGCTATTTCACGGAGTAGTTAGGAATAACAGTTCGGTGTATAGGTACGCTTAGGAATTCTATGAGACGCAAAAACCTGTATCAAAGAATATGAAAAACTGGACCTATGCGCATTACGACCAATACCTACCATAAGCATACATAGCGAATAAAAACATTTCCATTAAAATCAAACAGAGTGCATGCATAGTTTTGTTTTAACCATCGGCACTTTGATAATGCGGCATCAAAGGTTTTGTACTGACTTCTCAAAGAAATTTGCCGCTTTTCAGAAGCACATGGTGATGATACACCGGCGGCTTCTTTTGAAATCACATACAACAATCGGTGCCGCCGCGCCGAAATCACAACATTTGACACTAATTGATTGCCGCCACAGGGCCTAGGTATAGTTTTAAGAGCACAGGTGTTCCAAAAAATAAATAAGTTTCAGCGTGCTTAGAATGGAAAGGAATACATTATACTGATCACCGCCGTGGCGGCGCGGTAGAAAGCAAGGACATGTACTATAAAAAAAGGAATTATTTTAATTCCAGTCATTTTTAATTGAGCTTTGCTTCGAGTCTAACGTAATAATAGTTTTTATTAATTCTTGTTGTTTTAGGAAAGCGTATCACGTCTACAATTTAATATAAGTGACGAAATTTCAAATTATTCTAGTCCGAATAATGAGAGTTTGTGTTACAGATCTAAAAGATTCAAAAGCAAATTTGAGGAGATTTTCGAAATAATTCATGCATCCCAAAATGCCTTGTGAAAATTGTGCCAACATAAAAAAGTTAAAATAAAAATGAAAAACAGAAACACTTCAGGCTTAAGGAAACATCTAATATCTTTCCACAAAAAGGAATCACAAATATTTCTTCCTGTTAAACCAAAATTAAGCAGAGATATCGCAAGCTTTTTCGTAACTGCTGGAAGAAGTGGACAGGTAAGAATAAATTTATTTATCTCACAATTACATAACACATATTAAGTATGTAATTATCGTGTTAAATATTTTTTATAAAACACCCATATTTTCATTTGTTTTCATAATCGGCCTGTAACAACTAAGTACTTTATTTTGGTAAATTACAGTACAGTGCAACCTTAATATAACAAACCTCAATTTAACGATTTTCTCGATTTAACAACCACAAACCTCCTCCTCCTAAACGTTCAAACCTAGTATGTTTTAAATAATAACACAAGATTTATTGTTTTATTTCAGTCGGAAAACAGTAGTGACAACATCACGATAGCTACAGTTGATTAGGTGGTGAAAAATATCTTTCCTTCTCATTTTTCGATGACGAAGCTACACAAGTATATTTTCGACGTATTTGCCCGAATATGGTGTTTCCTAAAAGGTCCACACTTAGAAGGAAAGTCAAAGAGCGATTTGAAGGGCTCCAATTGAATCTCAAGGAACGACTTCAACAATTATCATCTAAAATGTCGTTTACAATTGATGGGTGGACGTCAATTGCTGGTAGGAGTTACTACGGGGTTACTATGCATTATATAGACAACGAATAGAAATATCGATCTGTAGTTCTTGATTTTATACCATCACGCAGTCGACATACTGGGGAAGATATTGCAACGATTTTCTACGAATGTTTATTATTGATAAAATACAAGGTATCACGGTCGACAACGCAACTGCAAATACCAAATTTATGTATGAACTAGGCAAACAGCTGGCACCACACTTTGATTCAGACAATCAACATTTCCGGTGCTTTGCTCACATTTTAAACCTTGGTGTACAAGATTTATTAAAGACCTTAGCATTACACTGTGAAACTAACACTAACGCGCTAGATCAGCAGTATGAAGACTATGCAGACGAAACTGAGGAAGATATTGCTGACTCGCGTACATCTGTAACAAAGTTACGCAGTATTTCCAGTAAAATAAAAAGAAGTGAAATAGTGAAGAAGAAGTTTCAGTCTGCTTGTGAAGCAGCTGGCGTGCCATCAAATCTGAATCCCATTCTTGACTGTCCAACGAGATGGAATTCCACACATGATATGATTGGATTTGGTTTAAAAGTGAGAGCGGGCATTAACATATTGTGCAGTTCTGTCACCGAATTGAATGATTTTCAAATCACAGCTAGTGAATGGCAAATACTCGAAAAAATACATAAGTTTCTAATAAACTTTAAACTTTTAAGTAATAAACTTGGTGGAGAAAAATATGTTACATTTCCGCTAGTCATTGTATCAATCAATCTGTTAGATGAAAACAGTAAGTTGAGAAATCTAATCGATCTGAAGTGGATGAAAGGCTCATTTTGGCTTTCCAAGCAGCTCGAAACAAAATGCTTAAACATTATAAGAAGAGCAACTGGATTTATTGTACTTCTTTAATTTTAGACCCAAGGCATAAGGCTCAGACATTTGATCTAACAATATGGGGGAAGCAACTTAAAACAGAAAACCTGCGCAAGTTCAATGAACTTTATAAAGAATACTACAGTCTACACTCACTGAACAAATCTCTGGAATTACCAAGAAAAGAAAATAAGGTATGTGATGAAGATGAAGACGTAATAGACTTTGATAAACTGTATGAATGTCCCTCGACGTCATCTGGATCTTCAAGGTCATTCTTGTCTTCAAGGCTTAGTGATAGATGAGTTGGAGGAGTACCTGAAAAACCAAGATCTGCCAGCTCGGAATACATTTTAGATTGGTGGAGGACGCGTGAGACAGAGTATCCGACTTTATCGAAGATGACCCGTGATTTTCTCTCAATACCTGCAACTTCAGTACCTGCTGAGAGATTATTTTCTAAAGCATCATTAGTAATTAGAAAACATAGAAATGGGTTAAGTGATGAGTCAGCCAGATGGTTACTTTGTATTAATTCTTGGTCAAAAAAATTGATATAAAGTAACAGAACCTAATGACAAAGCTATTGTGTACTGTTATGTTTTTGATTTGTATCTTATTTTTTATTGAAATAAATGATAAATCGTAAAACTTTTTTATTAAATTTCATATAAGTTGAGGGTTCAATCTCTTTCTAGAGAAATTCTTTAAAATACAGTCAATTTATTGTAAATAATTTGTTTTTTACATGTTTTAGCACATGTAAGCTTATAAAGCAAAAATGTTTATTAAGAAATAGTTACTCCCATGGAAGACGGCATATAGCTCAGTTGATAACCATGTGGCAGTTATCGATTTTTTTTATCAAATCTTCAGACATTTATTAATCTGATTGTTCTTTACTATGACTATGTTAATTCCTAATATCTAAAGTAAACTTTAATAAAAAGCAATAGTCTAATAGGAAATTGCAAGACTTGCAAGACTCTTGCTGCAAGACCAAGACCAAGACCAAGACTGGGAGCGCAAGACCAAGACCAAGACCAAGACCAGGTGTATTGGCGCAAGACCAAGACCAAGACTGGCCAAGTCTCGTCTTGTTCTTGCATTTGGGCAACACTACTTTTGTAAGGGTCGGTATCAGGATGGGTGACCAAAAACTTTTTATCTCGAACTCCTACATCAAGCATGTTAAGCTTAAGGTCCCGGCTCCCACCAATCAATTGTGTGGCGGTACATGGCCCATTCTTGCTATTCTGTTACATGTATACAATATATAGGGAAGGTATGTCCTGGCGGAAGGGTATTAATAGGCTGATGACGGTGATGATAATAGGTACCTGCATATGTCGTGTCGGATTAAGACCAGAGGCGGCCATGTAAGTCGAACTTATTGTTTTTATCTTTATGATATCTTTGCTGAATTTCGCATCCTCTAATAGCTGAAACAAAAACGATGATACAATGTTTATTTGTTTGCTGTACAATTTAAATTTAGAACTGAGGATTGATTGCTCTTTGAAAGTTATGTATTACATGATATATTAGCATACAGACATAGTTTATTCGACTACTAGTTTTATTGAGAATAGTACCTTGAGAATTTCTTTTATAAAGCAAATTGTGAAACAAAATATCATCCATTAACATCTCTCACAACTCTTATGTGGATGTATAATTAATTAATTTAAAATATATTCCAATCATTTTTTTTTTATTCAAAACGTAAGACTTAACGAAACACTGTCTAACGAACATTTCAAAATTTACACATCGAACGCACTGTCTCGTGGTAATTTTATACATTGCGTTGCGTTGCTTTACTCGTGGTGCAAATAAATACAATACGCGGAAGCTATTAGCTACAATCGATTAAGTTTTTTTTGTAAAGATTTGATTTCTTTAAAGAGTTAAAAATACAAATATATTTGTAAAAAAACAGTAAAACTTTACATATGTGTAAAAGAAATAGAGTCAGTGGGTACATACAACAAGGTTGATATTTATTATAGTTTAAAAGAATTATACATTATTATCTCAATTAGACACCTCATTCTTTTACATTTACGGTCAGTCATATATAACTTTCGTCATATTCTTACAATCATCAAGGGAAAGAAATCATACTCTATAAACTATTACATTAGGTGTAAAAATTAATATAAAACTTACCAAATCGAAGTCGGATATAACCTCGTTGAGGAATCGTAAACATTCCAGACCTTGGTTGTTAACAGTTTCTTCCGAGTAGAACTCTGAAACGGTTCATAAAAATTACGAATTAAACATGTAACGTGTGTCGGTGTGTAACTGTATTTCAGCAACAGACAGATGTTTATTCATAGTTATAACAGTACAATTTAATGAGTTTCTTTCTAGATTCAAATCATAAGTATTTATAGAGCCACGTCAACCTAACGTACAGAACTAAGAAATTATAAATTTCCACGTGTCATTATGTAATAAGAATAACATTCCGATCTATTTAATTAAAACCTCATGCTCACATATTTTTGCGAAAATTAGTGGTATTTAAACATTTGCCTCCGGGTTCGGGTTTGATGTATATTTTAAGCTACTTTTTGATGAAATGTTGGTTTTTTTTTTATGTTCCTTCTGGTCTAATCTATATACAAAAAGTAAATCAATTAATGTATAGGTATACCAGATCACTTATGAAAGAAAGCATGTACTAGTTTTCTACCAGAGGTTCATCTGCTCCAATCTCAATAAATCGTATAGAAAATACCGCTTTCAGAAGTTCTCGGATTTTCCCGCTATTTTTTTAAGATTCTTTAAAAAAATTACTTCTGTAAATGCAAAAGTTTGCAATTTTTCACGTTTAATGTGTATTATTATAATATACATACCGTATTACGGTCGAACTAATTATGTATGAACGCACTATAGTAATCTTAGACCCCAGTGTATGCCGCTAGAAATAAGCGTGTCAATGTAACGTCACTATATAGCCTAAAAACATACTCTTTAGCGGATAGTACCTGAGAAATTAGGCATGGAGGCAAAGAGCACGCCGACCTCTGCGTAACTCTGGCTGTAGAGGTCGCGGTGGTGGTGGCGTGCTCCCATGAAGTGACGTGCCACGTGCGGTGGCAGCACGTTATGGATTAGAGCCTGGTTCCGACGCCGCAAATCTGCTGCCTGTGCCGCCTAAACAACAAACACCGAATTATTCTATAACGATCTTCTTGACCGAGTTTCCAGATGTCACCTTTTCTATATCGTCTCGGGATTACGTAGTTGTGTTACCTTCGTTGTTTCAGATTTTAGATACTTGACTAGTTACCTTAAGCACGGTCAATCTGGGAGAGTCTGAAACTATAAGACTTGCCACGGTATGTTCTCAGGAATCATGTTATTGATTTTAATGAAAATAATAACTTCATATATACATTAAAAAAAACTAGTTCTCATGTCCTATAGTTTCAGACTTGCGCACAATAATCGTTCTTAATGTTACACATTGTATATGTGAGGTTGTCCAATATTAATGACAACTTTATGATTCAAAACCTATAAAAACAAGTCAGTCCATCAACTATATTGATACACTAGCTTTTGCCCGCGACTTCGTTCGCGTAGTAAAGTTGCTTTGTGCAGCATTTCTAACTAATATTTATCCATTATATCATGTAAAATACCTGAAATTAAGTTTCATCCCCTATTTTATCCCCTTAGGGATGGAATTTATGAAAATGCTTTCTTAAGGGATGGCTACATCATAGTAGCTTTATGCATGTAAAGTCTCAGCCCGATCGGTTTAAAATTGACTAAGTTCCATACAACTTTCATCCCCTATTTTATCCGCTTGAAGGCTAACCAACTTTTCGAGGCATTTAGTCAGTAGGAGTCTGACATAACCTCACAGCCGGCTGTGTGGTATCCAATGAAGGATTCACAACCTCCTTCCCCCGTTAGGAAGGTGGTTCCGAAGCCCTAAGGTTGAGAGCCGAGAAAAAAACTTGCGCGTTATCGATTTGTTCAAAGAATTTTGTGTAGGTTTCAGTTTTCGATTGAGTTTTGTGTAATCTTTACTATTATATATATCTTTTTTTTCATCTGTATTTCAAAAATAAAACCTATATTACCTTTTGAAGTATTCACATTGGACGATAACTGTAACTGCACAATATCGTCGGACTGGTAGAGTAATACAATCTAGATGGTGTGTCGTTTATCGTTGCCGACAGATTGTCGTGCCGATATCGGGTGACGACACAGTTTTACGCCGTAAATATAAAAGATAAAGCAAATGTAACTTCTTCTTTTTCTTAAATCTTATTATACATTCTTGGAATCATGTGGATATATTTGACTAACAGCTAGAAAGGTGTTACTTATATCATGTCACATACCGATATCGTGACAATATCGTAACGATATCGTGACAATATCGTAACGATATCGTGACAATATCGTAACGATATCGTAGTCCGAGATGACAATATTTGAGTATAGTGTCGTGTTGTTATCGTCACAGTGTGAAAGCGCTCTATGACAGCGCTGTGCTTGACGTAGTGTTAGAGGCTGTTTTAACAACAGTGTTTTTTATATAAGTGTAACGTAACGTAGTAACCATGCAATGCCAAAAAAAGCATACCTGAGCATGCATTCTCTGACCACGCGAGTGCCGTGCTCGTTCTAAAGACTCCGTCTGAAAATAAAGGTAAACACCATTTATAAATAGCAGCTTAAAGCATTCGTTGAATAATCGATCCATACTATCTTTATTCTATAACAATAATGTTTTAGTCTAAAGAATGGAAACTAAACAGTACTCACATATCTGTGAAATATGAGCAGCGCAATCGTTAAGAAGAATAGCATGACGATGTTCCTAACTGTATGGATTTGCGATCTGTGAACAAACAATATTTTGGAATTTGAATAAAATAATTATTCGTTTCGCACTTATAAAATACTTATTCTGATAATCAACGTCGGCCGTCACTGCATAACAATGTTTTAAGCCTAGTTTCTGCAAACCACTAAAAATAAATGCGTTTCAATCGGTTAACCACTCACAGCATTTGAAAGAAATCCTCATCGTAGTCGGTGGTGACGTTAAAATTTAGCCTGTAGGGATCACGGTCGAGCGAAGGACGTGGAATAAGAAGAGCGGGATACAGTGCGGCCGGTAGGACGTGGAAAGCAGCCATCAGCAGTAAAAGCACGGCTCGACCACCACCGCTCAACGGTGTCACCCACAGACAACCACATAATGCTCCTGCCCCCACCTAGACAAAAATAATCATAAGAAATCTTTTAACTTTCAATAATATTTGTCTTCAATTAATTATTGAAGACTCGGGTCTTCAAAACCAACTGTTTTTATCAAATAATAGGGCGCCATTGTCAGAGGACGCCGAAATCATCATAATATAATAATACCCACAGTTAAAAAAAATGAGCTTCACAAAAATATAGTTTAAAATTCATACTCATTATAGGTTACGATGGGTTATGTTTCTAAATTCCCGAAATGATATGATATCAGTCGGAATAAATCGTAGATCCGGGCCAGAGCTTATTTATTACAGCGAAAAATTAGCGCGCTATCAAAGCCGCAGATAACCTACAGTTAGAAGCTAATAATAATAATAACGAATGCAAAAGATATAGAAATATGAAAGCTTACGTGATAATAATATGAGGGATGTATGCAGCGACGCGCACCACTATGTGCTGGTGCATCGTCACGCAATCCGTCTTGCAAAACCGTCTCATAACTTCCGCAAACAATCTGTAAGTTACATTCAATCATTGCAACTACATTTTCAGAATTGATTTTAATAATTCAAAGTACTAATTAATGCTGGGCTTATTATTACCAAAGGAGCAACATTTGCAGCGACGAACATGGCCATGTTGAATGTGCCGCAGGTCAATTTCCAGTATGGACTCACTGATTTTTTCTAAAAACAAAAATGTATCCGAAGTTCAATGACTTGCTTTGACAAACTGAACAACACTAAAAAGTTAAGCAATTTTATTCTATAGTTTGAAATAACTTTAAACAGCGTCATATAAATTATAAAAAATACATATTCCTTGAGTTATTTCTCAACCAAGAACTTCACATAGTAACAAAAAGACATAGTCATTTTGTTCAAGTGTAATGGATTGATTAACATATAGACTACTTTTTATCCTACTCAAGACGCACAAACAATAAAAAATAAAATTTTAAGAAGTTTTTTATTTTTATGGCTTAATCTTTGCACAAAGATAAGCTATCGCGGATTTTTGTAGCCTTCGTAAAGCTTTAAATTTTTCGCTTTCTCTGTCCCTAAATCCCTATGTATGCTTAAAACTTTAAAACTACGCAACGGATTTTTGATACGGTTTTTTGTATTTATAGATAGGGTGATTCAAAAGAAAGGTTTTAATGTATAATAAAACAATAATAATAAAATAATAATAATAATAAAAAAAAAAAAATAATAATAACAATAATATAATAACCCCGCGGGCGAAGTCGCTGGCGGAAAGCTAGTCTCTTATATTCCTTTGGACAGCGTTCGAAAAATATGCGCCCTTATTTCCGTATTGGTATTGGTATTCCGTATTGGTATTTCCATCCCAAGGGAGTTGAAGAAATCCCAAGGTTTTAGTGGGAAAAAAGTAGCATAAATATACCAAATTTTTCATGAAAGAGTAACTAACATATATCCATTCTATATATTTTATCAATTTTGCATTAATACCGAAAAATATTTTTAATAAAAAAAAGGTTATTAAGCCCTAGAGATGGGATCCCATATATATATACATCCTCACAACTTTCGCATTTACGATATTATTAAATTACAAATACCGCTATTGTACCTTATACTGAGCATAGCGGCAGCAAGCATAATATGCGACGTTGATGAGTCCAGTCTCGAGTACCAACGCGAGATAGACAGCGTGCAAAGCCCACGCCGGCGGCACGGCGAAGTTCGCCAGCGATACCACCGCCGGCATCATCATCAGAGGCGGCGCCGCCACCGTCAGCGGATACGGGTCGAGGCGTCGCGCGAACGCTGCCTCCAACTCTTTCGATTTGAACGTCAAGCATAGCGTTGTTGCATCCGCCAATTCCCTATTGATTTATAAAATGAACAATGACACGTAATTTACGCTACTTCCTCCAACGAATTAGAATTATGTTGGCCATAGAAATCTACTAATAACGTTTTTATAATTTCAGTTAATTATCTGGTATCCCTTAAAAAAATAATTAAAAGTTGCTTAAACGAAAGGGTCAAATTATTAATAAAGCATAACATTTAAGCTACGCACAGAGATTATGAACAGAATTCATTGTTAGTAGTTCAGTATCTACTTCCATTGAGCTTATGATATTTATGAATTTAATGAGATATGTTTTAACAGTTGCATTAGGACACTGACGAAAAGAATATTTATTAATGATAATTAAAGTGGTTGCGAATTATTCAAAACTCATTCATTACATTATAATTATTTATATATAACTAGTAACGAGTGCCTATTGTAACTGTAAGTAAATATATTATGCATCGATAAGAATAATAAGCAGATGATTAGCCACAATTATGTTAACTCTACATTCTATTTAAACCCTGAAAAATACCTAAACCAGGCGAAAAAATCACACTCAGCTAATTAATTATCGTTTCAAACAAAAACAATAGAGTAACAAAAACTTACTTATCGTCATCTCTATTCACGAGTTCTTCTTGCAACATCTTGTGTATTTTCTGTTCCTCATTCTCCTTTGTCTCGTCTTGCGGTGATAGAACCTACGAATAATTTACGAAGCGTCTCTATGTAATTCAAAAGCAACATATCGAAATGGACGCTCATGAAAAGATTAGCATGGTACAATCAGTGTTCGATACTAATAAGCAATTCAGTTCGGATGAGAGTTTCGAAGCAGTAGTACTAGTACCGCGTATACTGTAGCTAGACTAGAACTATGTAGGTTAGTGCACATTGCGAGCCTAGTGGCCCAGTGTCCTAGATTTATTTGGGCTCGTAGCAGCCGAGGGTGGGAGGGCGGGAGCCGGGTCTTAGTAGTGTACTCACAGAGTCCTCATCGTCGTCTTTGAGGTCGGAGAGCGCATCGCTAGCATCACCACCCTCCGCCACCTCGCCTTCGGGCGCGTTTCTTTCATCCCCTCCCTGATACTAAAACAACACAAACTAATTCGTACCATCTAGCTAGGTTACATATAAATAATAAGGAAAATATATCCGATCTTCAGAAAGGGCAATATAATTAAATTAAAGCTTTAAGAACACAAACTTTCTGTTTGTTAATTTATCTGTATTTTTTTATTCCATGTGGGAATATACTTATACTACAGTACAATATTCAAATGTTGCAAATTATAAAAGTATTTATGACGTTTAAATATTTACTATGTATTTTAAAACATTCACGTAATTTTTTTCGTTATATTTCTAGCGTACATTAAAACGAAACTGTTTTTAAAGAAACCACAAAAACTATTACATATAGTTTAGTATAGATTCGAACGAGTCTTCAAAAAATGTAGTCATAATGTAACGGGCGAGAGAGGTCTGCATCCGACACATGACGTAAATGCCTGCTGGGGAAAGGCGTTGTTTACGTTACTCACTTCATTTACGTGAAGTATAAACGGACGTTTGCTCAAATTGTACAGTACACCTACATATGGCGAGAGCTATGCTGAAAATTTATTTTTAGGGTTCCACACTTCAAAAGCAGAACCCTTATAAAAACACTCGGTTGTTTGTCTGTCACAGCTTATTTTCTACGAAACTACTGGAGCATAATTGAAATTTGTTTATATTTGTGAGTTGGTGACCAAAAGCCGTCGTGCGATGTAAATAATTTTTAAGTAGACCTCTTTTGGGGGCAGGGAATAAGTTTACATATGTACAGATTTCAGAAAAATCTATTAGAAGTCCATGATTTTTTAATTTAATTGAATATTTGTGCGGTCCTCTCTGCGCGCGGGTCCGATTCGCTTTTGTCTGGTTATTTTCATTAATTTCACTTAATTTTTTCGTAAATTTGAAATAAGTCAGTAAAGTATTTTACATTATAAGTAAATATACATGAAAGGCCCTATAGTGAGTAAAAATATCAGACGAAAATATATAAATATAGTATATGTAGGTACAATTATAAACAGGCTCCGTAATTATTTGATACTTATCGGTTTCTATGAATATTTTCAGAAATTTATATTATTATTACATCGCCATAGGTCAACATTGAAACAATAGGAATAATTTTGTTCAATTAGCTCAACAGGTTAACGTTTCAAGATGATTTTAATGGAGTTACTCTGTGAATTAAAACAGTTTCTGCGGACGAAATATATTTTTTCTTCATATATTATTTATGTTCAAAGTTATTTAATCTGACCATTAAAAATGTTACCAAGTATTCTAAATAAACTATTTGTAAACTCAAAAAGTATAAATTTTTCATATTGAAATATACCAACAAATCAAAGGAGGTCAAATTAACTAGTAATATTAAATAATATAAATATACAGCTAGCAAGAATTATTGGTACTCCGTAGAAGTACATGGCCTTAAACTTAACAAAGGAATTTTTACATAGACTACTAAAATAAAATCTAAAACGTTTGTAGGTAAACATGGCTCACGTCAGGCTACCACAATGTTATGTCAAATTTCTGCAAGTGATTTTGTATTCTACTTTCAATGTATTAAGGTTTAAAAATCAAATGGAGTTTGACAGTTTTGTATAGACTGACGTGTTGTTGATTGTACGTTATCAGTTTTGGATCGACGTTCAAACGACCGATAGACGTCAATCACTTCGTGAAACTAGTGCCGTTCTTTCACACATTTTGTTACGGAGGGCATGTTCCTCACGCCCTGATTTCTGATACCTACATAATTCAATTTAAGTTACACAATCGGCAAATTAACCTATTGCTGAAACTTAGAGGTTAACCGTAGGAATTTGGCCGTTTTGAAGTAGTAATATGCCAATAATTAAGAAAAAAAAACCTTTTGGAAAATCGAATCGTATTGGTATTTACGGTTATTTTGAGAAGATTTACCGTAAACTAAAATGCCACAATCCGGGTCCTTACCCCGCCTCCCGATGGTACTCGCAGCAGGTATAACCAAGTAGGCCGACCTCGCTTAAGGTTAAGGCTTAAGGTTGCATTTCCCCAGCATTAAAAAGAAGGTAGATACAGATTACTACTGTGCTGTTAGCGACTTACTGGTTTAAGAACGCGCACTATAAAGTAGGTTTTGATGCCAGCCTGGCGCAGCATCTCCTCGCGACGTTCCCCATGAGCTGGTTCCACCTCGAATTCGTCGTTCAAAAAACTCTTTGTCACTTCTGAGATATGCACACGCCTGAGTGTTAATAAACTGACATTACCATACAATATACAATTTTTAAAAATGTTTATAAGCATGTAACATTACGTACAAACAAAATATGTACAATGAGCAAAATGCCATATATTACATGAACTGCTATAACAATGTAATTGTCGATAAAACCTTGATGAAACCGGTAAAATCCTTTACTTATTTTAATAGTAATTTTATTTTAATTTCTATCTATACTAATATTATAAAGAGAAAAGATAAGATTGTTTTGTTTGTTTGTTTGCATCGAAGAGCTTTCGAAAGTACTGGACCGATTTTAATATAAAGCACATCTTACGTTAGTGACATGACTGTAAGTCACATGGACAAAGTCGCGGGAAAACCCGGGGTAATTAGTAGTACATAAAGAAGTGAAATTGACGCTCTCAGTTCTCACCCAGCCATGCCGCTACTCTCCATCTTGTTAGCTAGTTCGACATCGCGAGAATATACGTCAAATTGCCACTGCCTTTGACCAAGCACACCAGCCAACACTGCGCCGGTGTGGATGCCCACACGCATGTCTACAGGGGAATTTGTTGTCTGCTGCACATATCTAAAACATAATATATCAGTAATAATTCTAATGTATGTACAATTAATTCCATTAGTTTTTATCCTGTTTACCTACATCTTCTGTTCTTATATAACTGTGATAAAAGAAATATATTTCTCATATTAAAATAAAATATATATATATATATATATATGTATATATATTTTACGCTCTAGGGGAAAAGGTTTTCTTTTAATTTTATGTCTGTGACACAAAACCGGCCTTCAGAAAATCTTTATTCTTCATTAGTGTCTTATAATAAAGAAGAACATTTTGTTTTTGAAAATGGAACTAGAAGCACAGAGCGAACAGTGGCGATTTGGTATTGCGAGATTAAAAAACCCTAGCGCGAAATCTTTAAAAAAATTATCTTATTTAAAATTGAATAAGGACCGCCGCTTATTTACCATTGTATTTAGATTAATTTATTTATTTTCACAAACGAAAACTAAAAAATCACGTTCCTTAAAACGCAGTATAATTCGGTTTATATCGACGCTGGAAAGCAAACACTAACTTGCAGGTTACTACTGCAAAATCAAAATGGATATTTAAAGTGGAAAATCTTTATATTTTTCCAAAAAAATATTTCTTATTTCCCTATAAATTTACACTGGGCATTGAAATTACACTTTTCTGCTCTGAAGAACAATTTTGGTTTTGCGGGTTACTACGTGTTTGCTTTCCAGCGTCGATATTCACTCCCTTCAATCGTATCTATATAATGGAGTTACTTATAGAAAAAACATGTTACCGTTTTATTTACTTAATACTGTACGGAGGTCAATTGTTTGTCAATATACCTACAATTTGTCACTGCTATTAGAATTAATATGAAAATGTTAATAAATAATAAAATTTAAATTTGATTATCAATTTTTATATTTACAGGGCAGCACCGACTCCCTTTTTGGCCATTTAGAAATTTAGCTTTTTCAATTCAAACGGTCAGATAGTTTTGGAGCAAATCACTGTCATAGCTAAATTGGTCCGAAACCACGGACGGTCAGAACAGATAAAGAACAACAACAATCCTATATGGATCCCATTTTTTCTTTTGGGATATGGAAATAGTGGTTTTCGTGCTTTATTATTTTAAAATGTTTTGTAATTTTAAATTCTTTTTTATGAACTTCTAAGTTTGTTAAATTTCGAAGCAGAAATTGAACCTTTAATATTACTTAAGAATAATATTAACACTTGTATCTGTAGTCGAGAGTAGTATATACTAGAGAAGAGTGTTAATATTATTCTTAAGTAAGATTTTAAATTATTCTGCTACGTATTTTGACAAACTAAGAACTTCATAAAAGATATTTTTTAATTATATAACCTTTAACCTTTTTAAAATAATACGAGTGAGTATAAGATACACTATAATGGTGATGAGTTCTTTAAAATGAGATTTAAATATAGTTTAATGACTTTAGTTCTCAATAATATGTCTGCCTGATGATTTATCACACCAAATTACAATCACTTTATAGTTTTTGCACAAAGATAATATTACATTTAACATTTAATACTTATATTTAGATTGAGTTTAATCTTTGTATTTTTTTTATTAATCAGAATAAACATGTAACTACACGTTCTTTTTTAATTACTGGGCAAATATTTCGAGGACACAAAGATTTTTAATTACCAAACTAACACATAACTCGATGCTCCAACGAAAATTATTAAAAGTTTATGCATAAAATATGAAAAGTGCGATTCAGTATTTTAAGAATGCGTGTGTTCTTGTAGCCGTGTCTCTTAAGTAGCTTTGTGTATTTTAAAGTCGGTTAAATAAATCATATCAAGAATTTATAAATATAGCGTTGGTAATTGCATCGGATTCAAGAGATCATACCCAAAAGTGAGGGTAATTATGTGTATCTTCAAATAAAGTACCTATACCAACTACGCTTTAGAATTATACTAACACAAATTTCAAGAATTCGATCCAATAAGGGAACAAACTGACCCTCCGCATTCATCTCCATCGAATTCCATTGAAGCAGTGACTAAAACAAAACAATGTTTCTACATTTCTACGCTTTTTGGGTGACTGTTTCAAAAACATTTGGCAAAGATACACAAAAAAGGATGTATGGATAAAAGAAATAATTTTTAATCCGTACTCAAATAGCGGAAATATATTGGATACGTATTTTTTTTGCTTCAAGTTAATAAAAAAATATATAGATATTGGGCATTGAAATTGAGAGGGTGGCTCACTAGTCAATACATGTAAAATTTCAACTTATTTATCTCCCTAATTTATTGATTAGACAAAAAACTAGCGGACAAGAAATCGTCGTGATAATTTGTTTAATGAAATAACCGATTGGCATTATTAGAAACTTACTTTATCGCCTTTACCATAGATAGTCCCATATGTACACAAAGGACAGCATGGTCCGGTCGCTCTACGGGCGCTCCGCTTATGCAGTAATAGCAATCTCCCAAAATTTTTATGCGTAATTGTTGGTATTTCTGTGCAAATTTAATTAATATAAAATAAATTTTATTACTTTAAGTAAGAATCAATAGCAGAATTTTTATCTATATATTTACCTCAGCAAGTCGGTCGAAGCGAGCAAACAACTCATTCAATATAGCAACGAGGTCCTGTGCTGAGTACGTAGAAGAAATTGCTGTGAAACCAACTATGTCTGCATACAAGATGCTGGCAAAATATAAATATGTTATGCACTATTATTTTTAAATACTTAATCATTACCAGTGCTATTAATAAACAAGGATTAGCGTTAGAGTAAATTTACGCTAAAAATTGTAATTTTAGTACTAATCCAAAATCATATTATATATTATCAAGGAGTAAATATTACTCCCGTAAACCTCGTACTAGATTAACCTTTGCTAAGTCTCTATTAAATAATATGAATTTTAACTAGTACTAAGTTCAGTGTAAATTTACTCCAACGCTAAATCTTGTGTATATATAGCACGGTAGATGTATAACTTTATCGTAATTCACTAACCTGACGTTCTCATGTCGTGACATATAAATTTTTTTAAATTGTGTATCGATCAATCCTAAATCTTGTCGCATTTGAACAGCAACGTGTTCCGGAAGTACGGATAGTAACAGTTATTACATAAGGTATAAATAGCTGAGCAATGTATCCGCGCGCTCTCTCTTTCACTGTATACTTCACAAGACGCACGCGTCTCAGTTTGTTGTTGACAATAATAAACCTCTTCATTATAATATACCAGCATTTTAATTACAAGTCCATTAACGGCTCCACATGGTCCTTCGCAAGGAAAACTTAATCAAGAAGAGACTTCAGCAACAACTGCAATTTGAAGGCAAGAGTAGCAAAAATTTTGAAATTGGTCGTGAGAAATAAGTAGGTACAATCTTACGCACGGCTGAAAAAATCCACGCGCGTGCGGACTGCAGTGCATGGCAACAGATCTACACCGTGCGGTGGGAGCGGGGGCGAAGGCTGCACACGAGGCGGACGACGCCTGTACCGGCCGAACTACCTCGCGACCGGGCGACCGCGCGAGCCGAGCGGGCGGGGGTGCATCACTACCAATACCACACCATTTCGACGCGAGGCGAGCGAGCGTACGCGCATATGCACGAAGTTAAAAATAATTTGTCACATAACATCGCGAGTTACGATCATTGTACTAAGTGTTATTTAATAATTAATTGCTTAAGTTTAGTGTTCGATTTAGAATATAAACGTAGTGTGTTTACGTACGGACAATGGAGCTGGCAGAGTTAATTAGTGCACGAAAATATACTAAAGGTAATATCACCCGTTTACATAATTGGTGCAATCAAATTGATGCAGAAAAAATAACTTTAGAAACATTAAACGTAAAAAGATCTCGTTTAATAGAATGCTTTAAAGAATACGAAAGCTATAACATAAAAATATTTTCATTAGATCCCGATAATAAAGAAAATATAGAAGATGTAGAGGAGAAATATTGTTCAACATTGTCGTGCTTAAACTCGGAGACAAAGAATCGTACCGAAGAAAATAAGCATAGTGCCAGCTGTCCACCTCCAGGGTCCGTGCCTAAAGTAATGTTACCACCGATAGATATACCTACGTTCGATGGTAAGTTCACTGAATACATACCATTTATTAATTTGTATAACTCATTAATAGGTAATAATAATTTATTAGATAATGTGCAAAAGTTATATTACCTAAGGTGTCACCTTAAATGTGAACCATTAGAATTGATAAAAAATTTATCACTTACACCTGAAAGCTATATCGATGCAATTAAAATTTTAAATGAAAGATATAACAATAAAAGTAGGTTAATCAACGGGCATATTAATGCGTTGCTAGATCTTAAGCCTATTTTAAAAACTACGGCAGCAAATTTAAGAGAGTTTGTATGTACTATAAAACAGATTCTTGCCGCTCTATTAAATTTAGAACCTAACGTTCGGTATTGGGACGCGATTATTTTATGCATATTGTTTCGTAAATTAGACGTCTATACGTCTCGCGCTTTCCAACTGGAAAGAAATGGCGCAGAAGATCCAACATTGGACGCCTTCCTCGCTTTCTTGGAAAAGCGCGCACTGGCGCTAGAGAATGCTGACCCGGGAGTTGCCGTTGGCGTCGGGCAGCATCGTCAGCAGCATCGTGAGCACGGAGCCGCTGCCGCACGCACCACTACCGTAGCAGCGACGACTAAACCTACGTGTCTACTATGTAAGTGTGAACATAAACTTTATTTATGCAACAAATTTAAATTAATGCCTATTTCAGAAAGGATTGACTTCGTCAAAGAAAAGTCTCTTTGTCGCATATGTTTAAGTCGTCACTCAAATAGGTGTAAATACCATTTTCGGTGTAACAAGTGCAAGGAACCACACAACTCATTGCTGCATCAAATCCCCAGCGATAGTGGTACCACATCAGCTGCCTCATTATCAGCAAACGAACTGACTAATCAAGTTTTATTACCCACAGCAAAGATAAAAATTATAGCTCGAGATGGCAAGCCAGTATATCTTCGAGCACTGCTGGATTCTGGGTCTCAGCTGTCTTTCATGACTGAAAAAGCGACACAGCTGCTAAAATTAAGGCCTACAGAAACAAATGTCAATGTAATAGGCATCACAAATACTAAATCCAGGTTAAAGTATTGTTTACCTGTAGAAATCCATTCAACAAAAAACTCCTTTAAAATTCCTGTTACATGCCATGTAATTGAAAAAATTACATGCAACCTGCCACAATATAAATTTAACTCCAAAGATTGCGTTCCTAGAGGGATTAATCTGGCAGATGATCAATTCAATGTACCAGGTGAGATTGATGTTCTAATGGGTGCGGATGTGGTATTCCAGGTGCTACTGCCTACGGAGTCGCCGAGCTACGAGCCTGTGAGCCAGCCTTCAAGTTTGCTGAGCCGCGAGCCAGCGACGCCGCTTAATATCCAGCCATCGGCAACGCAGTTTGACAGCCAGTCACCACGTCTCATTAATACTCAATTTGGATACATTATCGGAGGTACTCTGCCACGAGTTAATAATACATCTCAGTTTTGCAATAAGGTCACATTAAAGTGTACATGCGATGCTGTCACTAGTGACATCTTAAATAATTTTTGGAAAACTGAAAGTGTACCAGAAATTTATAATGAAAAATCCTCTGAGCATGAGCTTTGTGAAAATAATTTCAAAGAAACTTTTCAGCTAAAAGAAAATAAATTTAAAGTCGGGTTACCATTAAAATTACCTTTGAGTGAAATCAATACTGCTCTAGGTGATTCGTTTAATTTGGCACTTAAAAGATTTTTAAATTTAGAGAAAAAATTGCATAATAATTATTCACTCTTTTTAGAATATAAAAAATTTATTCATGAATATTTAAATTTGAAACATGGGCACTATGTCGATATTGAGCTTTATCAATTAAATAAAGATGCGGTGTATTTCTTACCCCATCATGCGGTTTTTAATCATAATAGTAAAACCACAAAATTACGTACAGTATTTGACGGTTCTATGAAAACCAACAAAAAGATATCTCTGAACGATTTATTACTAAACGGACCCACCGTACAAAGGGAACTTTTTGATATTTTATTATTATTTCGATTTGGTGATTTTACATTTATCACAGATATTAAGCAAATGTTTCGAAGTATTAATTTGGTCTCACAGCACACTTCACTACAAAACATATTGTGGCGTGATGACCCAAGTGAAAATATAAAATGCATAAGGCTTGACACTGTCACTTATGGTTTAAAAAGTTCAAGTTACCTTGCCACTCGTTGTCTAAAGCAGTTAGCAATGCAAAATGAAAATACATTGCCACTAGGTTCATTTATTTTAGACAATTGCACATATGTTGATGACATATTGTATGCCGATAACGATTTAAATAAAATTTTACAAGCAAAGTCACAAATTATTGAACTTCTAAAGTTAGGCAGCTTTCAAACTCATAAGTGGTCGTCTAATGACAATAGAATATTGACAGATATTTCACCTGATCACCAGCAGTTTGATGATGTAGAACTTCAAAGTAAAGATTGTAGTTTGAAAACCTTAGGTTTACAATTAATAGTCAAAAAGGATAAATTTAAAATATCTTGTCCAGAACCCTTTAGTGACAAAAATAAAGCAACTAAAAGGGAAATACTTGCTTACATTGGAAAATTCTATGATCCGATGGGCTTTATCAGTCCCATCATTGTGCAAGCAAAATCAATTATGCAAAAATTATGGTCTTCTAAAACTGACTGGGATTCGATGCCCGACAGTAGTATTAGGGAAGAATGGTTTAAATTTACTTCCAGTCTGTCTGAAATGGAACCTATATATATAGATAGAAATATTCATATAACTAATTCAGATACTGTTGAACTCATAGGTTTTTCGGATGCGTCCAGCTCAACAGCATACGGCTGTTGCGTTTATTTGCGAATTATACGTCCGTCAGGTAAAGTTGATATGTACCTGCTGTGTTCTAAGTCGCGCATTAACCCGCTTCAACGCAATAACATGACAGTGCCGCGCCTAGAGCTCAACGCTGCCCTACTGCTTTCAATTTTGGTTAAAAAATTACGGGAATTGCTACAATTAAAACACAAAATTAAAAATATATATTTATTCACAGATTCTAAAATAGTGTTAGCTTGGCTGCAAACTGAACCGATTAAACTGGGTGCTTACGTTGCGAACAGGGTTAAGGCTATTTCTGATAATATAAGTGATTGCATGTGGGCTTATGTGAATACCGCAGACAATCCCGCTGACTATGTAAGCCGGGGTGTAGCGCCGACAAAGCTAGCCTCCTGCTCTATGTGGTGGCACGGCCCGTCCTTAATGCACGACGCACGATATGTATTCTATAATCCAACAGAGCTCCCTGTTGACCTACCAGAGGTAAGGGCCGAGTCAACATTCTCTAGCAACCAGATAGTCACAGACACAAACGATGTTCACAATTACTTGAAAAAATTTTCGAGTATTCATAAGATGGTACGTACGTTAGCCTTCGTCTTAAGATTTGCAAATAATTTAAAGGGCGGCAGAATCTCTCATAATTATCTATCTAGTTCAGAATTAAAAAACGCTTTAATATTGCTTGTTAAGAAAGAACAAGAAATTTATTTTAAGGATGAATTATTTTGCTTAAAAAATAATAAAAATTTAAAGGGTTCATTGCAAAATTTATATCCTTTCATAGACACTTCTGGTATTCTTAGGGTAGGAGGTAGGTTACACCACTCTAACATTCCATTTGCACAAAAACACCAAATAATTTTACCAAGGGAATCTCATGTAACAAATTGTATAATACAGGCTGAACATTTAAGGCTGTTACATGCAGGGCCTAGATTACTATTGTCTAATTTAAATCAAAGATATTGGATTGTTAACGGTCTATCATATGTAAAGAAATTAACTAGAAAATGTATACCTTGTTTTAAGTTAAAGGCGGATGCGTCAAAGCAATTAATGGGTTCTTTGCCAGCCGACCGTGTGACTGCCATGAGTCGCCCGTTTGAAAAGGTCGGTGTTGATTTCGCTGGGCCAATAAATATTAAACTCTCGCGCGTAAGACGTTCACTTGTGGGCAAAGGGTATATTTGTGTATTTGTTTGCTTTGCTACTAAAGCGTTACACCTTGAAGTGACCTCTGATCTTACAACAGAGTCTTATCTCGCGTGCCTTAAAAGATTTATTTCCAGAAGGGGGTTGCCCAGAGAAGTCTACTCTGATAACGCTAGTACTTTTAAAGGCGCACAGAATCAATTAGCAGAGCTTTACCGCCTACAGTCATCAAAAGAACATCAAAGAAAGGTCTGCCAATATGCATCTACACAGAATATAAATTTCCATTTCATACCATCTTATTCACCTACCTTTGGTGGTCTTTGGGAGGCTGCAGTAAAAAGTACTAAATACCATCTTAAAAGAATTACACAGAACAAAATGTTAACATATGAACAAATTAATACTGTGTTAGTAGAAATTGAATGTGTTCTAAATTCCAGACCGTTGTTGCCACTGTCATCATCAGATGTAAACGATTATTCTTACCTGACACCTGGTCATTTTTTAATTGGTAACGCACTTACTATGTACCCTGAAAGTGATTTTATTGATATTCCAGAAAATCGCCTAAAATTCTGGCAATTATGTACTCAACTTAAGCAGTCATTTTGGAAAATATGGTATAAGCAATATCTTAATATATTGCAAAACAGACCCAAATGGAAAAATACCACAGCCAATGTAACAGTAGGTAGGCTAGTAATATTAAGAGAAGATAATGTACCTGTCATGTATTGGCCTATGGCTCGTATAACAAAAATCTTTCCAGGTCATGATGGTCTTGTAAGGGCAGTTGAAGTTAAAACTTCCAATGGTAAATCACATATCCGTTCCATTTTAAAAATAAGCATTTTACCCATTGAAGATTCATAATAAATTTGGTTGTTATAATAAAACACAAGTTTTAAGTTTGAGTACAATTACCATGTTTATAAATATAATAATATTTGATTTATTATTTCTTTTTGATGAAAATTAATTAATTATCTAATGTATAACATATATAAAGTAAGTATGTTTATTAATAAATTAAAAATGTTTAATGCATAATTATTTGATTGTCTATTGTATAATTAGATGTTTTATTTAAGAAAAAAAAAATGTAATTAGACATAAGTATGACATTCTTTGTGTGCCCGCAGCATGTCGGGATGTTCCCAACACTAGTTATTACATAAGGTATAAATAGCTGAGCAATGTATCCGCGCGCTCTCTCTTTCACTGTATACTTCACAAGACGCACGCGTCTCAGTTTGTTGTTGACAATAATAAACCTCTTCATTATAATATACCAGCATTTTAATTACAAGTAACAAACGCTCCTAAAACATAAAATAATTATAGACTATTGCAAATTCACTTACGAAAGTCGTTTTTCAATTTTGGTTACAAAACGAAAATACTCATTTCTAAAAGCTACCTGTTCTTTGCTCTGTTGTTCTATAGTTAGTTTATCTCGTAAACTTCGTTTAGTCTCTTGAAATGATAAACGTTGCAGTCTTTCAGCAACTACATATGCCGTCCCTCCCAATAAAGAAGCTCCAATCAGTAACAAACCATTCGATAGTTGCTGCACAAAAAGAGTGTATTGAATTGGAAAACTTGTGTTATCATTAACATAATCAAGGTAAGCTAAAAAGGAGCTGAGGTTTACCTGATAAATAAAGTCTTCAGGTAGTTGACTCTCGGAAGAAGAAGCATTGTAGTACTGCACTGCCAAGTACGCGATGAATGAAATAGCGGCATATAATAACAGGAGCATGTAGTTGAACGGCATAGTGGCCAGTGTAAAGTATTGCAACATAAACGCCCATCCCAGTAGCTCGTTATAGGAGTCCCCTAAGCGACGTGAGACGCTCAATAGGAATTGCCCCCACACCACGAACCATGCCACATGATTTAAAACCAGCCTTATAGACTTCACGCAGATGTACACTGCGGCTAAGGTCAGATTTATAAGCAAAGCTATCGCAACGGAAGAATAAGCGAACAATAAGTTCCTCTCTCCTGGTACCAATATAGCGAAAGCCTGCAGCAGTATTCCAGTAGCCAGCAGCCGAGGCACGGCACGCTGGCGTTGGCGTTGCATGTATGCGGAGTACAACCGCTCTTCCTCGAGATCTTTGAACCCCCATGGTGGCAGTAAGCAAGCCCATACTTTGTCCAGTGCCCGTTGCTGTGTAGACTTATCCATTTTTCAAGATTTTTCCATTATCATTTTTCTCAGACATTCACGACATTTCTAATTTTGTATAATTGATGGGACGAATTATAAGCACTTCAGTTATTATTATATTTTATTTATATCACAAGGTTATTTCATCGATTCTTTACCAGTTTATTCGGTAATACATTTTTTAGTGTTTACATTCTTCAAACAAGACGTTTGTCACTAGATTTAAATGTAAACAGAGTGTTTTTCACTGTTTTCTGCCATCACAACAAGACGAAATACTGTAAAAACATAGATGGGTAATTAAATGTATTGTTCTGAGTAACCTTAATTACTACGTATTGATCTGTCTCTAAATCTCATACAAAAATAACATATGAGTTCGAAGCTAGCCGTCGCGACGATATGGCGAGTAATCTCCTGTAGCTATGCTCGTCGGAGTTCATCACGCGGAGACTTTCCGTTAGCGTCAACCTAATCGAGGTCGAATGTGTAATGAATAAATTACACGCTGAAACATTGTTCCGATACCCATTCATTAACTCGGCCGTCTATAGACACCGACGACTCCTTTTGTGTCCAACTATACAATTCTAATTTCAATATTTGACAATAGTTACAAGTAACATAACTGGTGCGACCATACAATTCGACGATCATAAACCAAATGTTTCACTAGTTTTTACTGATTACTGAAGCCGGGATTATTTTAATGCATATTTAACAATGTAAAAAATATTTTTACGTCCAAGTTTCTATAGAAATATCGGGCTAAAACAAATTATGTGTGATTTCAAACATTTTTGGCTTTCGTTATCTCATTTTGCCTGCTTGCCAAACTGATATAGACTAAAATTATTTTTTGTGGAAATCGAAATCATTTCAGGTCAATAGAAATTTTTCCAATTTTCAAATTTTCCAATTCCTTTCCAAAAAAAAAACCATAAGAAATTCAGAAAGGCTCATTATATTCTACAAGAATGTACTTAATTAAAGAATCCTTATCACTCCTGTATATAGATATGAATTTCCTTATAAATGTTATAGGATTTTGATCTAAATCCAAAAAAGTATCCAGATCCGGAGGACGATAATTTAACAACTACATTTTATCACAACCATGAACATATCCAGTTTTTTTTAACCAATAACCTAAACTTGCTTAGGAATAATAATAAAATTTTATAAAATCAAAAAGCCTCTCTTTATTATTTTACTGCGATAGAAAAACGTATTGAAACCGTTACCACGACGGAACAGAGTTAAAGGCGCAATAAAGTGATGTGATATTTATAATAGAATAAGATGACCATTGATTAATACATTAGTTTTATTTAGCACTGAAATCAATTATTTATATTCCGAACTCTATATAAGCCATGTTACTAAAGTATAAAAATTAAGAGTAACCGACCGAAAGTTTATGGAAATAATAAGAAAAAGTATAGGATATCGTTATGATTGAGACAAGACAACATAAATACTAATAAGTGTTATTTTTACCTAATATATTACTGTGAGCAATTAGATTTTCAGTCATTTTGAATTTACCATATTACATTAGACAATGTAATAATGTTAACATCGATAATAACCAGTAGAACTAATTGGCTACACATTTCCAAATTATTAAACCCAATATTCTACTGCAAAGGAATCATAATACTCGTATATGATAAGTTTTAATATGTCTTGAATTTGTATATAGCTAAAAGTTCTTTCTTTTAAACCTAAACCAAAACATATTGTTTAGCTTGCTGTATTTGTATCGTAAACATATTTGATTACTACTATTATTATTATATTAAAATTAAGCTATTTTTATAACAATTTCTCAAAATTGACATAATTTTTAGACCTACCTGAGGTCGATAATTTGGAAGCCCAGAGAAAAATACGAAAGGCAACCGTAAGAACTTATTAAAATTAAGCATTAACAATTTACTAATGTGTTCACGACAGTAAGAAATATTTTAAAAATATTAAATAATATTTGAATTTAAGGCTTTGAACAATTTATTTTATAACATTGCTTACCAAAACTATTTTATGGTGTTGTTAATGAAAAGAATTATTTGTACCAATGTGATACTAAAATTACAAATACACATCAATTTTGATATTCATTACAGGAGACCATCACTAGCTTGTAGCTATTGGCCGATGCACTAAAATCAATGACTATTGTAAAGCAAATCCCAGTTCCCAGCTTACAAGCAATGAATTAGGCATACTTAATAGCATTTATACTGACTTGGAATAAGTGAAATACATTTTTCAAATATAATACTTTATGTAAAAGCTTTCCCGCCGAAATTAAATAAAATATGATGTAAGCAATCTCTGTAAGACTCCCTACTTGTCTTATCAACGGTAAATCACTTAGAGGCCGGAAAGCTTGTCGAGTTGTGGATGGCGTACTGGTTTAATAGGTTTAATAACGAGAAAATTTATGAATATTAAACTGTGCTGACCCCGAATATTGAACAAGGGATACTAGGGCACGGGTGGTGTATGACACCGACGGCGCGAAGGCGGTGCGCGCACGTGCTAGCGCGCGACTGCCGCGGAGACCGGCGAGCCGCCCGCCCGCGCTCCTGCCGCCGCCCTCCGCCGCCCTCCGCCGCCCGCCGACAGTCAGCCGCTGCGCGCCGCCGCCGCCCAGTCGCTTAGCCCTCCAACTCTCCCGCCCTACAACACTACATCGATTCCCCTGTCCTGTAGCATACGTTACATTAGCTCCTCTTAGCTCACTTTTGAAAATACGTCAATCATGCGTTAAAAATATTAAACGTTAATGAATGATTCTAATATTTCAATAACTGGGTAGAGATTAGTAGTTAAGTAATGTTACTCAACTGAGATAATGAGCTACACAATAGGGAAAACTCTACCTCTCCTACTACGGGAACTCACAACATCTGCGAATGACATAGACTATAATTAACGCAAGCTGAGTCACAGGAAAACAGCTAGTTAACAAATAATTTATTAGCTATTACACCAAAACATGTCATGAAACTATGGGCAATACCACTCTTTGATACAACTAATTTTTATATCTCTTAAAGGATAGGTAGAAGTTTCGCCGTTTGAGCGAATAACCCGAATTTTGTATGGCTTGGACTGAACTAAACGTCCTTACTATTACTGAATCTGAGATTTGGTGATTGCCCTTCGAATTAATTTTTAATTTGTTTCATAAATTAAGAACACTAAAATTCTTACTGCCCGTTGCACAATCGAGTACTCGTTAGTTCTTTTTTGTTTAATGCGACATTACCGATACAAATTTTCGAATTCAGAACATTTATTAGAGCTTAATGTATGTTTGTGCAACTGGCCGTTAATATGTAATAAAACAAAGTCGCTTCCCGCTGTCTGTACATACGAGATCTTTTAAACCTTCCAACGGTTTTTAATATTATTTAGATAGTTCCTCATATATAGAGTGATTTAAGAGTGTATAATATAGGAGAACGCAGGCGAAACCGTAGGCAGAAAGCTAATTACACATAAATTTGACAACACAGTATGTGAAATTCTTAAATATTTAAAAAATTTGTAACTTAGATACACGGTTGTAATATTTGGATTTATTTAAAACAAATTACTAATACTCGTATTTACAGTCGAGTAAAAGTAATTACTTGAGTAAATGTAATAAAATATTTAACCAATAGAAAATAATTTCAATGAAATAAAAACTGTGAATAACTAATAATAATAGTATTATATCTTTTGAGAATTTTTACTTCATTCAAATTATCCAATAAAACACCAAATTGCTTCAATACTATAAATGCAGTTATAGAACATTATTCGCTAACATTAATTAAGAATATCGGGTTTTACTGCCTCTGAAAAACTTGTACTATCTCATGGACAACTTGCAGGTTTTAAAGGCTTAATTAATTAATATATCTAATAAAAGAATGTATGAATGCGTATGGAACTGGAGAGCTGCAACTTGACGTTGAAAAGGCCGCAAGCTACCTGACCTAGATCATATATGAAATGAAATGAAAATATTCAAACATATTGAAAGCACTTTTAAATTGTGAGAATAGTCATGAATCGTAATATATATTCTTTTTTTTTTCAGTTCTCTTGCTCAAAAACTTCGTCATTTAAATCGCTATTTCAGCTTCGCGTACTTAAGCGAATACTGGGGAAAGCAGAAAATAACTAAAATGTCATACATTACCTACACGTTTTGGGTATTCTATAAATTATCTAGGTATTGTACAGAATGGCGGATTATAGAAATTACCGGTAACACATGCATTATTACCTTACAGTATGCCCATTAACGGTTTTTTATTTAGTTTGAAACCGTTAAATAGCTATCGTTTATTTTCCTTAGATACCATATTGGCACATTTTAGCCCCTTGCATAACAATATACTATTCATTTGTTTATTTTATCTTTTTTGCCTATAAAATAGCAACCAGTCAAACAAACCAAAAAATAAAACTAAAAAATAATTATAAAAAAACCGGCTTAGTGGGAATTCAAAAATCATGTCAAAACAAAAGGTTATTAAAGAGTAGTATTAAAATATAAAAACGACATTTTTTTTTAATTATTACAAAAGATACGAAAAAATATTAAAAAGGTTGTCAACACAGCAAAGGTGTGTTACCTATATTTAATATATAAACATTGTTTATGTAATGTACATAAAAAACTTCAAATAAAGTCAAAACCGTGTGAAGTAGTATAAAATAGCGCTTTGTTAAAATAAATAAATAATAAAAACGAAATTTAAATTCAAAATAAATGACGTTGTTCTTTCACATCCAAACCAAGTTGCAAATGCATTTAATAATTACTTTGTTTCTATTGGTGAAAAATGCACTATAGACGCAACAGTCTGTCTTGTCTTAAGCCCTACTAAAAATTCAATAGATATATAATCTGTATTTATTTTACAAAAAAAGAGTAATATTCTGCCGGGGGCCGTAGGGTATGGCTATTTATCAATTAGGTTCAAGAACATCACTTAGAGATAAATTCAAAGAAATTGGGATATTAACAGTTGCCTCCTAATTGATATTAAAATTTAAAATGTTATGTTACAAGCAATATTAACAATTACATTAAACATAATAACGTACACAGTTTTAATAATAGAAACAAAGATAAACTTGTTTTGCCGTCATGCAGGCTAAAGAAGGTTGTATCAACATTTATGGGTCAAGGTATACAGTACTATAACAAAATTCCTATGGAAATTTTAAATTTGACGTTGCCTAAATTTAAGACCTATATTAAGAATTGACTACTCAGTAAAGAATTCTATTCTGTTAATGAATATTTAAACGACAAAACTGTTTGATGTTAAATATGGCTTATTTTTATGTATATTCAATTATTTATCAGTGAGCTTGTTTGTTACGCCATCGGTTCGTAAATCTACGGCGGGAGACTTTGTACCGAGAAGAACCGGCAAGAAACTCGGCAAGGGCTGCTTTTCACACAGAGGGTCAAGATTGAAAAATGACTTCATTAAAATATAAAGTGCTTAATTGTAAGAAGTTAGGAAGGATAGTTGAATTATAACGATGTAAGTATGAAATTCCATTTATTTAAGGTATTATTAAAATGTTTAAATGCCTTTTTTTATTTACGTCGAGGAAATGCATTAGGCACTATCCCTGCAGCCTGGCAAGTGACAGGGGGCGTATGGGACGCTCCTACATGAGCCTACCCTTTGGTTAGCTGTGCGGTGGGCTCCCGAAGGCCTACCCACAAAAACCCCTACGGTGTACCCTCCCCTAGGGATGAGACCCGGAAATCTGTGACCGAGTCGCCAGGACGCTCACCCCCCAAAATGTACCACGAATAACCATTTTATCTTCGAAGAAATGTAGTAAACGTGATGCGTTACTAAATCCTTATAAGCAAAAACGCTGTAACCCACATTGCTCAGAATATTCACTGCACTCTAACTACCGAGATTATGTTATTTGAAAAAGATGAATTGATGTTAATGTAAAGTGATAAAAAACACTCTTTTTTATGCTATTTACAAAAGCTGATTAAAAAGTTGAGTTAAGCAAGGAGTAGTGGACCAATTAAAAGAGTTTTTCTTTTCTAATTCCGGATCTGCAATAAAAATAAATGGCTCGAGTATGGCTTTTTTGCGTCGATATTAAAATAAATTTATTAGGTCCTTACATATGAAATTGATATTTGGTATGGGAGGAACAAAAAGGCGAATATTTTTTAATATAATATATTTATTAAATCAAAGTATAAACTATTGATATCTATGCACTTTTGCCATCTCATAGGTAATTAATTGACCCCCTTACTAAAAAAACATTCGGACGGGAATCAATAAAATGTTTGTAGGCGATTTGCACTGCCCCATCTAAGTTAAATTTTTTCCCTTGCAAGAACTTATCCAAATTTCGAAAAAAATGGTAATATGTTAGAGCAAGGTCCGAAGAGTACGGTGGATGTCTTAGACATCCCAATTGAAGCTCTTCTAATTTGGTAGCCGTCTGTTGTGCAGTCAGTGGTCTAGCGTTGTCGTGAAGTAGCAATGGCGTAGAGCGATTGACCAGCCTCGGTTGTTTAACAGGTAGTTTTTCCAGTATGGTTTGCAATTGCTGACAAAAGACGTCTGCCATAATCATCTGGCCAGATTTGAGAAAACTGTAATGAACAACAACGGCACTAGTCCACCGAACGCTTACAAGTAACTTTTTTGGGATCAATTTTCGCATGGTTCTTGATTTGGCTGGCATGCCAGGGCCCAACCATTGCGATGAGCGCTTCCGATTATCATAGAGAATCCAATTTTCATCACAAGTAAAAATTCGATTAAAAACCCTTCATAACTGCGCCGGTTATATAAATGTAACATAGTAGTCGAAGCGCGTTTGCCGTTTTGCTTCACTCAAATCGTGAGGTACCCATCTTTCAAGCTTTTTAATCTTTCCAATTTGCTTCTAGTGGATTCGGACGTAGGTTGCGATGGATCCGCTTCCACAATAGCCTTCAAGTCTCCGGCCGTCCACGGGGCTTGTTTTGCAGGTCGAAATTTCTAGAACAAAGACGTTGGAACCGCCATACTCATAATTAACCCTTCGAGCCGTTTCCGCAGCACTGGTACCACGGTGGTACTCGTACTCCTAAATAACATGATATTTCAAGTTTTCCATTTTTTTTTTATTAACAGAAGAAAAAACAAATGAATGTTGCCTAACGAAACACAAATATATGTGTAAATGGCTGTATAAATTTGAATTTGGAATTCCCAACCAAGGAGGAGAAGTTTGTAATTAAAGTGGCCAGTGCGACAAAACGCCAATTTCATATGCAAAAACCTGCAATAAAAATTGATGACCAGTGACCCACTTGGGCCGGCACTTTTTTGTTTAGCTATTCATCCAATAATTTCAAATTTAAATTCTAAATTTAATGTGTGGTATCTGGATGATGATACGTTAGGAGGAGAAGCCGAATCAGTTTTTTCAGATCTAAAATATCTAATCGAAAATTTAGAAAATTGTGGCCTAGAACTAACTTTTAGTAAATACGAGCTCGATATTCATAGCACAGTCAATAACTTCCAAAAGAATCTATAATTTCCAAATTTAATACTCTAGCTCCGGGCATAAAAATTATATGTAAACAGTCCCTTTCACTTTTAGGGTCTCCAATTTGTGATGAATATTTCAGTCAGTTTACTGAACAAAAAGTAATAAAATTTAAGTCAGTTGCTGATCGTTTACTAAAAAATTAATAATCAAATGGTTTTCACAATTATGCGTCTTTGTCTCTTTGTTCCTCAATTTACCTATGTTTTACGTTCAGCACCTTTTGGAAACACACAACCTTATACTTTCAATGGACAAAGCAATAAAAGAAATTGTTTCCACTATAGTATATATTGTATATATAGTGACAAAATTTGGGACCAGGCTTCCCTTCCTATACGCTTCGAAGGTTTAGGTTTACCAAAATTTCTAGTGCTGCTTTTCCAGCATTTTTATCTTTGGTCCATAGCACCTTTACCTAAATAAAAAAATATTGTCTAAAACATCTTCAACTGCTACTATCTCCAATATGGCCGAGGCGAAAAATGCTTGGGATATATTATCTAAAAGTGATTTTCCAACAGTAATGACAGCTCAAAAACATTGAGATGAGCCGCTCTGTATATTGGTACGGAATAATATATTAAACACGTCTGCCAATTCTGCAGAGCATGCTCGTAGCTTAGCTGTCGCTGAGTGGGAATCCGGTCTTTGTTTACAAGTCTTGCCGTCACCGACTGTTAGAACACTTCTGGATAATACAACTTTCCAACTTTCAGTTTGTCTTCGCCTGGGGGCAACCTGTAATCTCCCCTATCTTAACCCTTGCGGTGAAACGGTGGACTCTTTAGGTCATCACGGCTTATCTTGTAGCAGAAGTGCTGGTCGTATCTCTCGGTATGCAAGTATTAACGATATCATCCGTCGAGCTCTTATTACGGCGTCAGTGCTAGCCAGTGCTAAAAAGTCAGAATAAACGTTTTTCTGTACTAATATACTATATATTAGGTTTTGGCGAAATGTACATTAAAAACTACTTATCTAAACTTTGTCTTAAAATAATAACTATACTAAATAAAAATGTCTTTCAGATCATTGCCTACAGGTAAGGTACTCAGAAAAAAGAAAGAAGTGTCGCAAAACAAAACACCTGTGAAATTATTAGAAATATTAAAGGTACTAGTTTAACCATAACGATAACGTTTTTGACAGCTATGATCCACAGACTTAGGATATTATCCATAATTTAGGGATGAAACTAGGTATTTACAAACTGAAACATATTAAAAAACTGAAATATTAAAAGTTTGAAACTTAGATATCAATACAAATACGAAAAGTACAAATAGAATATGAGTTGTTTATTGAGTTTTGAAAACTAATTTACTTTTCAACATGAAAGAAAACCGGAAGAGTTGTCATGGAGAAATCAGAACGTACCGTCGCGACATCTAGTTAGATTTCGGAAACTAATTTTTATTATTTTTAAATACACTGGGGCGAAATCCACAAGAGCAACGCCATTAATTAGAAAGAAGAAGAAGATTTCGTATTCGTAGTGTTTTGATGTTTTTACGTTTTCTCTTCTTCACTGATTACGGATTTTTCTTTCGTTTTGGTTTTCGTGATAATTTCGGTCTAATGATTTTGTGAAATAGAATAAAATCTTTATATTGCTAGCATGGTATACTCTGAAATTAAATTTGTCTGTTTTACCATAATTTGACTAAATAAGAATAAGGTTAGAGTGCGGTATAACAAATAATGGATGTGATTTTTATGAAACCCGTGCAACCGCACGTTTTTAAAGCTATTAAAGATCTGGACGTAGAAAATCTGATGAAATGTTCTCCAGAAGAAGTAAGACCTATTATACCATGCCTTGTACGAATGGCCCTCATATCTCCTTTGGATACAACTAAATACTGTGCAGAAGCTAAAAAAGATATCCTAACACTACTATCAGGAATTGATTTGGTAAATTTTATTGTATCCTTGTTGTCTATAGAATTTCATGCACTAGAAGTAGACCTAAAGAAAGAACAACAAATGAGGTAATTATATTCTTAAATTTAACTTGCATTGCAGTTATGTAGAAACAAAATTTTGTTTTAATGTATTTACTAATTAATTGATGTTTTAATACAAATATATGTCTTATATTTTTCAGACAAAAGAATGGTTCGCAATGTACAGAGTCAATTTTGGTTCCAAGTATAGTTAATGGAATAGCTAGTGATTTTGAACAATCAGATTCAGCTCGTCGAGTAAGACTTGTCCTATCTGAAATACTGCAAATGCAAGCTCAGCTAACAGAATATAATCAAAACAAAAACTCTAATTCAGAGACATCTATAAAACCATCAGAACTTTTTGATAATGATGTTTATTTGGAAGAAATCACAGATGTTATTTGCATTAGTCTTGCAGAATTACCAAATTTATTAAACATTTGTGATGTTGTAGAAGTGCTACTTCATGTCAATAAAGGGCCCATTATAATATCATGGGTAGTCGCCAATATGCCTGACACCCTGCAGGAAGGTAAGATAAACTTTTGATCTGTTATTGAACTTTATATCAGTCCTGTTTTGAGGCTCCCCAACTCCCCACACTATAAATTGTATTTTTGTGGGAGTTTAACTTCCCCGTTATTTTAAGAAATACAATTAATGCATTTTAATAAAAACACTTTTGTTTTAATTCAAATAGATTTAAATAATTTAATTCAAACTAATTCTTATTGCCATATAATGTGATATAGTAATCCTCAATTTTACATTTTTTCTAATATTAATCTCATATTTTCATTTTTTATCTTATAGTAGCAGAATCTTTGGTTATGAATGCAGAACGAGGAGAAGAGGGAGGTGTCCGTACTAAAGCTCTTGCAACACTGTGTGATGCTTGTCCTTATATAGCTGCATCTGTGAGATCCAAAGCAGCATTTGCATCTCGCTTACCTTCACTCATCATCAACCTTACTCTTACTCATCATCAAGAAGATCTGGTATGGTATTATAGAAATATGTTAAAGCATATAGGAAACATGAGTAGAAAGATTTTGAATAATATGATTTTCAGTTATATTTTAATATTTGTTTTATCATATTTGTTACAGGTATCATTTATGTCCGGTTTATTATTAGGTTCTGATCAGACCACGAGAGCATGGTTTGCAACATTTTTACGTAACTCACATAAAAGAGGGAAAGGCGATGGTCATTTAGCACTCACAAAACTACGACAGGAACTCTTAAACAGATTAAAAATTGCCATTGCTGGTGTAGAGGCTTCTGCATTACTTCGACTCTATTGTGCCCTCAGAGGTATTGCAGGGATTAAGTTTCAGGATGATGAAGTTGCTGGACTCTTAAGGCTAGTCACTCAAAGACCTCCACCAACACCAGCAGGTGTCAGATTTGTGTCTTTGAGTCTCTGTATGCTTCTTGCATGTCCATCTTTAATGGGTAAGTAAGCTAATTTAACTATACTATTTCACCGCCTTTGCTATTCTGTAATAAAATCAATCCACAAAATTAATCCCAATCCAAAAAGAAATAAAGATTTTATATTCTCCCAACCCAAAGGTTACTGCTAAAATTATTGTACTTCTTGCCTTACAAGAACTTTACCAAAGGCACTGTATGCACATGGTGACATTTTAACTGTTTGAAAATTATATATTCTTAACTCTGTATTGAAATTACATTGATTACTTCAATATGATCCTAATATAATATAATAAAAGAAGAAAATACAAAGTTATTCCTCTAACAGCCGGTTGCACAAATGTCCATTACATTTTTCATTACTTTAAAGTGGTTTCACCCATTCAAATTTGACCTTCATTACAGCTTAAAGGCGTCATAAAACCTTAATGGACGTTTGTGCAACTGGCCGTAAGTAAAGTAATACAGCTGTTGCTGCCAGTAAATATCACAGACAAGCTATTAATTTATATAATATTCCGCCTGCAGCTTCGCCCGTGTGGTCTTGTATTATACATAAAAACCTTCCTTTTGAATCACCCTATCTATAAAAAAAAACCGCATAAAAATCCTTTACGTAGTTTTTAAGATTTAAGCATACATATACACACAGGGATATAGGGACAGAGAAAGCGACTTTGTTTTATACTATGTAGTGATTATTAACAAAACACTAAATATATGCCCATTAAGCATGTAAAAGAAATGTTTTAAACTGGCTCAAAAAGCTAAAATACGATAATACAGAACTTCTAAAGATTGAAAAATATGTTAGATAACCAGTACACAATTGAATCTTTAGAAAAAAGGGCATTGCCAACAGTAAAGTCTCTGAGTCCGGGGGGTTAAAAGGCGAAGTTTTACACTTTTACAGTGCTTGTGTTTTGTGTGAATTTTATTTCGAAAGTAAAAAACGATGTGATTTTAGCGATAAGTGTAAAACCAAGATTTAATTTACCTTCGTAACAAATAAAGGCTTCATGGGCCTATTCGCTAACTTATTTTGACAAGTGGAATGATTATCACCGAACTTGTCAAGCATACATTGGCGTTTCCTTAATAGAGAGTAATAACATTGGTAACACTGACACGTCAATGTAAGCTTGACAACTTCGGTGATAATCACTGCCACCTGTCAAAATAAGTTAGCGAATAGGCCCTCTGATCATTAATGTCGGTTTTGTTTGTTCTTGTATTTCATTTCTAAGATAATGGGGATTTGTGAACTTTATCAACAACTTTTTTCCACAAATCCCCATCATGAGGCATCAATGGGGATTAGTGGACAAAAAGTTCACAAATCCCCATTGATGGGGATTTCCAATGGGGATTAGTGGAATAACCCACTTAAAGTAGCTGGATTGTAATTGTAAGATTTACTCGACACTTTTATAAATTAAAAAAAAAAAAACAAACTAAATGGAATTATCGCCTCTGAATGTCCCTGCATACTTAATGTCATGAAAATTGTTGGAGCAGTTTTCGAGATTATAATACAGTAATTGCTATTTTAAAGGTTTTTAGATAAAAAAAATATAAATACGTCAAACAATGTGAAATGCATAAAACTTTATTGCAAATACCCGTAAAAATAAATGTTTATTTTATAATGCCTATAATTCTTATATCTATTTACGAGTACAAATAAACTTGTGACTATCGAGAGTTAACCTTAATAAACATTAGATCTAAGAGTATTGACGCTGCTTAATAGTATTAATAGCCAATATTTTGTTAATTATTGATAGATAATATTATAATATAATTGTTTTCATCCTAAAAATAAAGGATAAATTTTCATTGAAATACCACAAATTATATTTTTCATTGATAAACATATTTTTTATTATAGCGGCACCTGAGCATGAAAAAAAAGCAATTGAGTGGGTACAATGGCTAGTTAAAGAAGAAGCGTACTTTGAAAGGTTTGATTTTTTTTCCTACTATGAAGTCTGATAATAAGAAAAAACGAAGTTATTTTATAAATTTGTATGTATACTCAGAGAGAGAGAGAGAGAGGGACAAATATATCTTATTGTGTCAATCGCAAGATGACTGAGATAACTTACAGTACAGATACAGTAATATTGGTTTAGTGATTATTAATTAAGTTTTACTATTTTGGATAACTATTGAATAGAAATGAATCTGTTCGGACAGTGTTGGTGTGAATGTGATTAAAATGAAGTTCCTGCACGCGTTGCATGACAAACTCTAGAAACGCTTTGTCTACACTCAAATAACAGTTTCTTGGGTCGAAAGTGAGATATTATACTCGATTGTGAGACTGGTCACAGAATAAAATATTTTTGATGAGGAATGATATTATGACTGTTTGTGATATCCTAGAGCTTATTACACGCATTTAAAAAACACTGACATGCTTTTGCACTTTCCAATTTTAAACATAAGATAAAACTAAAACTTGTTTTCCAGCAATTCTGAATCGACTGCGTCATTTGGAGAGATGCTTCTACTAATAGCAATACATTTTCATTCTGGCCAACTTGCAGCTGTAGGAGAATTAGTATGTGCAACATTAGGTATGCGTGTGCCAGTACGACCTAACGGCCTAGCGCGCATAAAACAAGCTTTCACACAAGAAATCTTTACAGAACAGGTATTTTAATATTTTATCGATTAAAAAGAAATATTTTGAGAAGCTCGATAGCGCACTCGGTCTGCGATACGTTTGTTTACCAATTTTCGCAATGGTCGGTCAAATATGACAGTACAGTAAATTTTTACACCCATAATAATGGGTGACCAAAAAATTTACTGTCTCGACTTCCTCCATGCTTCGTGCAGTCATTAATACCCAACAATCGGCACTGGGTCTGCGTGGTGGGTCATGGGGGTCATGGCCCGTTTTCCCTATTCGATTTGATTTTCCATCCATGGGGAAGGCGTAAGCCCCAGCAGTGGGGTTATTAATAGATGATGATAAGTGCATACATTATGTCACAATTGACTGTTTAAATGCCTTTCATTGAATTAAGTCATTCAACCACATGCCTTTAATGTCAATTAGTCGAGATTTGATAACAAATTTTTGTAATCTAACCTAATAAACTAAATTTCTTTACAAAATTTTCTTTTAAGTATATTTCATTTGATTTTTTTTAATTTAAATTTGATTATTAGTTGAATAAATAAAATGAGATCTTGTTTTTATATTTCTGTTGTTAAATTATGTTGTTCAATAAGTTAATTATAGATATGTCTTCATGGCTAACAAGACGATCAACAGGACACATAATATTTATATTTTGATTTTATTGCAGGTTGTAACAGCGCACGCAGTAAAAGTACCTGTCACAGCAAATCTTAATAGCAACATCCCCGGATACCTTCCCGTACACTGCATTCATCAATTGTTAAAATCAAGAGCCTTTTCGAAACACAAAGTTCCAATTAAGAATTGGATTTACCGCCAAATTTGTAACTGTATCGCACCACTGCACCCCGTCATGCCCGCTCTTGTTGAAGTTTACGTCAATTCTATTCTGGTCATTAATAATAAAGGATCCAACGAATACGTCAATAAACCGATAACAGAGGAAGAAATAAGGAAAGTGTTTAGAAACTCTATATTTGGTGCCAATTTTGATGTACAAAATAAACCATTTTCACCTATGGAAATAGATAACGGTGAAACGTCCATTGATATTGATATTGAAAAACCTACTTTAGCCTCTCAACTGCTACTGATATACTATTTGTTGTTGTATGAAGACGTAAGGCTCGCTAATGCAGCATCTCTTATAGCTAACGGTAGGAAAGTGAAAAGTTATTCTTCTGCATTCTTATCTGAACTGCCCATAAAATATCTTTTGCACCAAGCGCAAAAAGATCAAATGAGTTACGGTGGTTTGTTCAGTCCCCTTCTTCGTTTACTAGCTACACATTTCCCACAACTATCGCTCGTTGATGATTGGATGGACGACCAAGTATTTGGTGATTCATGTCGTCATCAAGTTGATGTCAATTTATCAGAAATATCGATAAATGAGGCGTTCCAAAGTATTGATGAAAACCCATACAAAACTGCCAAAATATTAAAAGCTATGCTTAGCAAAAATCCCACAGATATATGGCCGTATGCCGAACTATTTGTACGATATTTTAAAAGCGTGTTGGGAAACCAGGTCCCGAGACATATACAAGAATTATATCGAGAAGTATGGTTGCGCCTGAATACTGTTTTGCCTCGTTGTCTCTGGATAATGACCATAAATGCTTTGTTGGACATAAATAGTGGCGCTAAAAATGTGACAATAACACAAGAAAATGTGTTGGTTGATCCCTTACAGGTTCTAAGATGTGATATAAGAGTGTTTAGATGTGGCCCGATATTAAAAATAATCTTGCGAATATTGGAAGCTAGTTTGGCTGCATCTCGAAGTCAACTAAGTCGCCATTTACTTGATAAACCACTTTTGGAAAAAAGTGGACAGTTAACATCTGATTCTGAAAGAGAAGAATTGAAAAACGCTTTAGTCGCTGCACAAGAAAGTGCAGCTCTCCAAATTTTACTAGAAGCTTGTCTTGAAACAACTGAAGATAAAAGCAAACCTGAATTGATGTGGTCATTGCGAGAAGTCAGAAGTATAATATGCTCATTTCTGCATCAAATATTTATATCAGAACCATCATTAGCGAAATTGGTCCACTTTCAAGGATATCCTCGTGAATTACTGCCAGTTACTGTACAGGGTATACCTTCAATGCACATATGTCTAGATTTTATTCCTGAACTTTTGAGTCAAGCTTCACTTGAAAAACAAATCTTTGCTGTAGACTTAGTCTCGCATTTATCAATTCAATATGCTTTACCAAAGGCAATGTCTATAGCACGTTTATGTGTTAACACTCTTTCCACACTTCTGTCCGTGCTTCCTAGTGATTTGCGCTTGGAATTATTCCAGCCTGTGTTGAAGTCTCTTGTACGCATTTGCATCGCATTTCCATCTCTACTTGAAGATATAACATCTTTATTGTTACAATTAGGAAGAATATGTGAATCGCAAGCATCTCTTGGACATTGCTGGAATGACACTCATATTTTAGGAGAAGGGGCTTATGTCTATGCAAATTCAGAAAATAAATCTAAAGTACTAGTTGCAGAGGTTTTATGTCGAGACATAAAAGTAACTATGTCTGAAATTATACAAAAAGCGCTAATAAATGACAAATTGTATTAAATTATTGATCAAGTATAAAAATAAAATACTTATACCAACATGTTTGGATTTATTTTATTTTAGAATTGATCCTTCGTTATGCAAAAGTTAAAATAGTTTATTAATATATGAACTGCAAAAGCAAACCTTCACCATCCATAAGGAAGGCCTGAGCCCCTGCAGTGGGGACGTAAAAGGGCTGGTGGTGAAAAGCAAAAGTTCTATTCCATATGGTGCTACAATATCAGGTTTCCAAAACCTTTTATTTAATTGCAAACAGATTTTCTGTAATTTTTGCTGATATAATAAGAGTCCATTATTTTGCCTCTTTTAGCGTGTGCCATTCGGAGATTTCGTATACGTTAAAAGATCTCAATAAAAACTTGTTACGTAAAAACTTTTTATTTATATTTTTAATACATGATGAGTAAAGTATTCGATGGCTCTATAGGATTTTGTATTTCAAGTTGCCTATACATCCAAGCACATTGATTTCTTGCTGCATGGTTACCAATATCATTATACAACTGTGCCTGAAAGAAAATATTAAGTATGAAATTCAAAACAAAAGCAAAACTATTAATAAATTTAACTATATTTGCTGCTCTTGTACCTGTAAATACCAAGTTTGTAGTAGCCTTGAATGTGCACCAACTTTTGAAAAATTCTTTTTAACAGTCTCCAGTGCATCGCAGCAAGATTGAAACACTTGAGCTCGAGCTTCACCACACACAGGAGCAGAGGCAATGCGACACTTCGTGTATAACAAGAGGGCTGCGAATAAATAAATATACAGTAATAGGCTATAGAAAGTCTTACGGTCGGTTTCTGTATTGAGAAAAGTACAAAATCTCAACTGCTTATTATAACTTTTTCATTATTTACAAGGCAAAGTCCTAGTTTTTATCAAACTGCTAGCAACTGATCACTAAAAAAACCATAATCGGAAACAAAAACTGTTTAAGTGACATTTAAGTACAGTTTGAGATGTGCTTAACTTTAGTTCGGTCTCTTGAGTCACGTGTCTCTCTCACTACGGTATGTTGGCAAAAGTTCCGTGTATAACGGAACAAGTCCATATTTAAAAAAAAAAATTACGGGCGTAGATAGAAAATTATAATAAAGACATTATTTTTATCTGATAGTGTTTAATATACTATCTCCAATAATCACATTTATGCTTATTATTATATTTTTACAAATATTAACGCGCCTTACTCCCCCCACTTAGTGTGAGTGAGACGGGAACCTAACGCTTTATATTTTATACCTTATGTTTATTGGAATAAGACTCGTTATAAGTTTTAATTGTACATTTGATCATCGTCGAAACTCGTAAGTCCGTTATAATACATACATAAATACACAATGTGCCATAGTAGTTAGAAGTTGAAAGTAACAATATAATTATTACCTCTAGCAGTATCGTAGGTACTTCCATGAGCCATAATGGACGGTAACACTTTACGTACAAGCAGAAGAGCATTCTTAGCACATCCCATATGAAGTTGTACATTAGCAATATGCATTTCAGCCATAGCAGCTAAGTAATGTAGGTGATATTTTTTTGCTAGTGACAGCGCCTCGTTCAGTAACATAATATTTGTAGATTGAATGCTACTGAATGAATGTTGTACTTGTGACATTAATATCATCGCCTTTAATCTCAACGAAATGAAATGCAGACTGTCATCTTCGGTTTTGCAGTAGTCTAATATGTCATGTAAAGATTCTAAAGCTTCAGTGGCATCGCCTTTCAGAAAGTACATTTCTGCTTTTAGCAATTGACTCTCCCATCTGTCAAAAGACGCCAGTTGTCCTATGCTCTGTTCCGCTTCTTCCCATTTACCTAAAATTAATAGGGTCAAAGGTATCATTTAAAAAAGCAGCATTGGGGGTGGTGTAAAAGTAAAGAAACTTGTTAAATAATATGAATTTCTTGTTCTTTAATAATAAACTCATTTCAATAATAAATCTGTGAGTATTCGAGCACGAACTATCAAAGAAAGATTTTTTTTAAAGTAGTTTCAGAACCTCTTCAAACAAATTATATATGGATGACCCCTTCGTAGTGCGCCGTGGGTACGCATTACAGAGGATTATTAACAAATAACATTAATTTAAACTAGAAAAAAAAAAACAATTCATCGGTCTCCAACACAGAAATATATCTAGTTAGAAGGAAAAAGTGTACGTACTTCGCGTGCCGAAACGACGTCTAGACAGATTCATTGCTCGCCGCGAGGCTCAGTCCACTTTCGATCGCAATCGGTGTTGGACGAAATTTAAAATGATGCGTTGTTCGATAATTACCTGCTCAAACACCACCAATATGGTTCGACTTATAGTCGAGGTATTTCCTTCCATCGGTAAGTAACTATTTGCCTTGATATATCTATTTTGAATTAAAAATCATTAGTTTAGTTGCTCCGTATTATTTTTATCAAAACGGTCATGTGTCCAGTAAAAGCTTTCCATTGCGGCTTTAATTTGACAGTCCAAATTTGCTGTGCTTGTAAAACCATCGATGTATAATTCAAGGTCAATTTGTTGGAGGACAAATTATCATTTTTTCTGTCAAAAATGGAGAATAGTGCTGTACAATGCGATTTTTTTACCCGATTAAAAAAATATCGTTTTTGAAAGCAGAAGAAAGGATAATTAATTTTATATTGAATTATACTGTAATTTTTGTTTTAGTTTTCCGTATGATCCTAATATTAAAAATAAATGGATTGAAGCAACAGGACTCTAAGGCAAATAGTAGGTATACTTACTGGACATGGAAACTTTAACAAACACCTATATAACATGGGTTATTCTGACAGTCCTCTGAGCAGGGCGTGCATGGAGACTGAGGAGATTGTCTCCTCAGTCTCCATTCCAGTATCACATAAGCGCTTGTGCACTCATGTGATACTGGAATGCAGGAGCCTATTAAGACAAAAGGACTACATATCTATGAAGCCCAAGGATACTAGTGGAAGCATGCGGCAGAGTTCGAGATCTTACGAGCTTCCTGGAGGAGCTGGGGTGGCAGGACTAAAGCAACCCCGTGTCATGCAAAATAGGCACTGAGTATCGAGTTGCAGAAAAACCCGCCGTGAAACATAACATAACAACACAGGACGTAAAAATGTGTAGCGTGTCGGGAGGGGGGTAGCGGCTACTACAAAGTGTTTGCCCACAGAAAAATGCCGATTTCTATTCTATCGCATAAAATCTTTTTTGCGCCGATTCACTAAATTACATTCGTGAGTTCGTGACATATACATAATATTTAAGTAAAATGGTAGTCTGTCTATAGTCATGAAAAAAATTGAGGGCGCTGCGATCGTGCACGTAACAACCCTGTGTAGTGAGACAAATGATTTTGATAGTAGGATTTTTTTTTACTTTTATTACCCCTGAAAAGGTAAAGAAAGGCGTATAATTCGTAAACAATAAGTTTATTCTACATTGAAGATTACAATATACATAGTAATCGTAATTTTTGATAAATCTTTTTTTTTATAATTGCCAAGTTGTTTTCTCGTTTTACTGCAATGTGTGCTTGTGTTCGATTTAAGCCTGTTACTTTGACACTCCTTGTAAGAAAACCCAATATATTTCAGAATTTAACGCAGAACTTCTAGGCTACAATTAAAATCCAGATCGGTTTTGGCAATCCACTGATGTTTTCTTCATGTAGGTACCTCTTTTTTTCACAGAGTAAAAGAACTGAATCTTTTGTCGAAGTGCACAAATGTTGCAGTTAACCATTTATTTCTTAGGACGACTATCTATGTTTCCCAGGGGTTTCAAATATGCCACCATTTTTATAACCTTCATCTACAATACGTATCACTATATTCTCTGATTTTCCTGAAAGTAAGTTTTAAAAATGTAATACCTATAGGTATTTGGCAAAAAGAATAGAATCGCCACAATGATCAAATTAATGCTATAATTTTAGTAATATAAAGCACTAACTTTTTATTGGCGTACGTAGGTAAAAATCGTACATTCCTAACAGGTATATTTTTTATTCAGATTAAAATCAATTATAGATTATCCAAAAGTAGTGAAAGTTCGGGCCGCACTACAATATAGCCTTCTAACATTTTCAATCTAACCTATAAATGCATAATGTAATCAATACTTCTTTTAGACTTAAATTCATATATTTAGTAAATTTGAAATTTCTGGTAACCAAAACTCAATCAGTAACACGATTACATACCAGCCATAACTGCCGTTAGAGCTTTAACATCCTACAAATATGATAAAATGTGTCCAGCTTCTTGTTCCAATAAACATCACTGAAAAACTTTATAAATAATATCCTGAGCTTCACTCTGATTAATTCTCTTCATTTTTAACACTTTTCGACGGAGTTTAGAAGAAATAGCTTCAGTTTAATCAAAACAAATCAAAAATGCAGAAAATCGAGCTAAAAAATCAAGTTGTTGACAGACGATGTACTTTGATTCAGTGTTGTCATACTTGTGTCTAATGTTAGTTCCTCAAACATTCTTTTCATGACTTTATAGACAGACTGTACACGTTGGTCTCCGTCGATCGATATCGTTTTTTCAATCGATAAGAATCGGTATGCCGTTTTAAATACAACATGTATTCGATGCAAGTGAAATTATGTCTTCCATCACTAAATTAAGATCGTGACGTCATGATACCTACACAAAATGTGGCACGCTCGGTCTCCATATAAATCGACGAACATTTTCCTTCTAACTAGATTTATTTCTGTGGTCTCCAATTTATAGATAAATTTAGTCCGCCAACCAGATAATACAATAATATTCGATTATTTCTTTTTTACTTCAATTTAATAAGAAATAGCTTAGATAACATGCATCAAATTTGAGTGGGGGCTCGCTCCGTCGCAGTATTGTACAAATGTGATATATTTATTCAATGTATCGCCGTAATTTAATGATTTCGTTCGCAAAATTAAAACAATACAAACAAACAAAAAAGATAGTCATCTCTATAAGCAGAGACATCTGTGCACATTGAAACTAATCTTTTTCGATTTTGAGGTCTATTAAAAAATTATAATGAAGTATAGGTCACCGGCTAGTAGCGCGAAGCCAGCGTGATGTCGAGCGGTGAGCGCGGGATGTGCGGTGGAGGGCAAGTGCGCGGCGATAGCGGCCGCTAGTGATGTGTCGGCGCGCCACGCCGCCGTACACGCCGCGCCCGCCGCGGCAGTGCCGCACGACTCCGTCCAGTGCCACGTGCCGCCGGCACTGCTGCCCGCACCCACCTCCCCGTATCCACATTCTACCACATTCATTTCTATAATTGAGTAGCTGTTTTCCCGTAAATAATAACCTATGTCTACCCCGTATGATGTAGCTACACGTAGATCAAAGAATTTTTAAAATCGATCCTTACTAAAGAACTATTTTGAGATTCTGAGGTCCGATTCTGATTATCGATTTTAAGGATGGTAACTAAAACTGTGACACAAGAATTTTATATATCAAGTCTCCTAAAAGAAACTTTTTTCACAATCAGAGGTATGTGTGCTAATACGAAAAGCTAATATTATATTGGATGGCACTATACTAGTTATTTATTGGCGGTTATGACAGCTGTCTCATGGTCATGACTAAGGCAAGTAATATTCGTCTCATTTTAATATTCGATATACCCGTAAAGGATTTTTGAGCGCGGGTCGAATGATGTATTGCATGTACTTTTATATTTTGCACTCCCGGTGCGACACTGTCACTTATGCAAAAATTTAGTTTTTCAGGAGAAGAGTTTTAAACTCTGTAACCTCACAAAACAATGACTTTAGAAGATATAGATGAGATGAATCATACTGAACATAGTTCCGTATGATTCATCTACAAAAGTAACATTATCGCACCAAGTAAAGGGGGCTTTAGGACAATTATTCAAATTTAACTAATTTTTGTATTTTTTGCAAAAGTGACAGTGTCGCACCGGGGGTGCGATTTGTCAAAAAAAGTTATGTGAGACTCTTCTGAGGGTCATTCATCGGTGGATATGTGTTAACGAACTTTGTAAACAAAATTACATTTTTTACGCTTATAACAGTATTACGGAAATTGTTTCTATTTTTTTTTGTAATATAGTCTGACATCTGTTGTCAGTAAGTGGCGTTTAGACCAATTAGACGTCGATATAAATAATGATATTACACAAATATTAGCTACTACTGCTATACTCACTGGTATTAAGATTAAGAAGCAGCTGACAGCAGACCGATGCCATTTCCGTTTTTCCGTACAGTGCCCACAGAGCCGCTTGGTTCGCCAAACCCGCCATCGTTAAATCGGTCATTGGCATGTAGTTTAACGAGTCGCCTTTGGTGATGATCTGCAAATTTAAGTTCTACTTAGATATTGTCCTAATATGTGAGGGTCGAAAGTAATATCACAAAAGGGGGAGAGCAGACGTGATATCAGGTGTTTCATAATTGTTATTAAAGGTATAAGGAACAAACAGATGGTAATTTCTACTCATTAAAATGCGACGTTAATATATTCCGATCACAAAATATAAGCGACCAATCATCAACCAACCATCCCAATGTCTAGTTGCTATATATGTTTAAATATGGATGAAATCATTTATTGAACTTTACTTTCAAAATCACTAATGCTTACGGATTACGACTTTACATTGTCAGTTGAGTTAACGATGTCGGCTAATATTTAAATATAAAAGGCTAACAAAAGTTGCATGATCGTCTCTCTAACATCTTTTCTATATCTTGTGTTTCACCCCACTCCATACAACAATTGGCTAATGAAATATGTTGGAAAAGATCATTTAAAAAAATAACTATGCAGTATTTTTTGCTTTAAAATGAATTGTAGGTATATTTTAGTTTTGAAAAAGCAACTTGAAATTTATAGTCTGTTAATTGCGAGGGCCGAAACGCGGACTGCTATGAAATAAGGTGTCGTGTGACGTAACATTACGACGTAGACAGAGAAAGCAATAACAACAACTTAAACGTCAGCATCTTTGTTTGCGATAATGACGCATATTGACATATTTTAATGCGACGTCACGAATTAAAATGTCACATGACTGATTGTTTTAATTAATTGAAATGATGTTTTTTTTTTTTTTATTTATTTAATAATGCATTTTTGAGATAAAATTCTGCTAGTGCAGAATAAATATGATCATATAAAAACATCAAATACTTCTATCAAAATAGTACTTTGCGGGGTATATATTACAGGGGTATATGGTATTCCGCTTGTTCGGCTCCGCTGTCGGCGGCGTGCTGCGCCATGAGCTTGTTATATAGTGAGGTGTTCGTGTACCTGTAACACTTCGGCGGGTTTGGCTCCGTTGACGGCGGCGTGCTGCGCCATGAGCTTGTTATATAGTGAGATGTTCGTGTACCTGTAACACTTCCGCGGGTTTGGCTCCGTTGACGGCGGCGTGCTGCGCCATGAGCTTGTTATATAGTGAGGTGTTCGTGTACCTGTAACACTTCGGCGGGTTTGGCTCCGTTGACGGCGGCGTGCTGCGCCATGAGCTTGTTATATAGTGAGATGTTCGTGTACCTGTAACACTTCGGCGGGTTTGGCTCCGTTGACGGCGGCGTGCTGCGCCATGAGCTTGTTATATAGTGAGATGTTCGTGTACCTGTAACACTTCGGCGGGTTTGGCTCCGTTGACGACTGCGTGCTGCACCATGAGTTTGTTATATAGTGAGATGTTCGTGTACCTGTAACACTTCCGCGGGTTTGGCTCCGTTGACGGCGGCGTGCTGCGCCATGAGCTTGTTATATAGTGAGATGTTCGTGTACCTGTAACACTTCCGCGGGTTTAGCTCCGTTGACGGCGGCGTGCTGCGCCATGAGCTGCGCAGCGGCGGCGGCGACGCGCGGCGCCCGCGGCACCCTCGCCAGCAGGGCCGCGCGGCGCGCCCGCCCGCCCGCGAGCGCGCCCCACGCCGCCGCGTGCGCGAGGCACCACGCGTCCGCCGCCTCCTGCGCCGCCGACAACGCCTCCCTCACACCCTCCATTGCCATCGACCTGCCATATACGATACACCTAACGTGTTAACTATAGTCTTTTTCACATAGTATGGGTACGGTGATATTTGGGATTTGAAGTTTTGGATTAGTGGTGTGGTAATAAATATATATACAAAAACTCGATGTTATTAAGTTTATTTCTTATAGATATAATCGATTTTGACCTCAATGTATAAACCAGGATTAAAGAATAATATCTATCCATCAACAATATCAATCCGTATCAGAAAAATACAAAATTTTATTACAGTTAAGTTTAACTGTTACGACAACAATAATTAAAAAAATTGTTAAATGAATACAGAATACATATTTTGATTAAAACGGTTTTATATCCCTATTAAATAAAAAGATTCTCATTTTCATTGTTAGTATTGATGTTTTAAACTTTGTAGGGTTAGATTTCACTGATAACTAATAAAAATTAATTTGTATTTCACTGCCGCTCGGGGCGGAAGACAATTTTGCTGCCCCTCTTAATTATTTCATCATTATACTATACATTGATTTTAAAGAATTTTATCTGTCATCATTATTTTGCATTATACAGGTTAGATTTAGACTGCACGGCCGGTCGAGTGGTTTAGTTGTCGCCATGCAACTGCCCACGGATCGAGTGTTGTGGTTCGATCCCCACAAAAGATAATTTTCGTGCAATTTACAAGTAATTGTTCTTAGTCTGGGTGTACTTTGTCCATCGCAACAGAGTTCTATCCTAAAAGCAGGCTTGTCTTTGAAAAACAAACAAAAAAGATTTGAAATAAAAAAAATCAACTAAATAACTGAAGATCCATGAATAAAACTTTATTTGAATTGTTAAAGCATCACGTACTTTCTTAAACGGACAGGAGGAAGGGTTTTATTTATTTACTGATTATGATTTAAATTAATGGTTTAACTTGACCAGTATTTCAAGTTTGCATCAATTAACTAGTGAAGATAATTAATTATGAAATAAATATATTTCATTGATAGCCAGATTCTGAATTGAGAAAAGTACAAAATCGCAATATATTGTTCTCAATAGTACTTAAGTATTTTAAATATTTTATTAAAAAAAAATCTAAAATCATAAACGAAAGCAAAAAGTGTTTTTCACGTTTAAGAAGAGTTTGAGACATTCTTAATTATAAATTCTCGATTCAGAAGCCGGGTGTGAATGTGAACTATAAAGCAATATATCAGTACCACACAGTTAGTCTAATCTTTATGATGGCCCTTAAAAGCGACACTTACTTATGACCGAATTGGGTATGCATAGCTGCTCTATTTAGAGCGGCATATCGGAAGTTCTTATTCCTATCATTTGGAGCGTTGTTATTGCCAGAGACACTGAAGACGGTCCGATCGAAACAGTTGTACAAAGAATCCTGTGCACCACAAAACTCCTTTGATCGAATACAGTTCAAAAAACTAAGGAAATGCTGAAAAGAAACGACTCATATTTATAACTGTTACATCGTTATATCTGCAAAAGGCCACTGCAATCAATTTTAATGGTTAATAAAATCATAATCGATTGCTGAAAGGACATCGCCGAAAATGGCCCCAATACCATTAAATATTAATATTTCAATAACAATTATTAATTTATTTATTAAATTGGAATCAAATGTTTATTTGATACGGACAAGCTGCGATCCAAAATGAATATTTAAAAGTACTTTAACAGTAACATTATTATTCGCAAATATTCACATTCAATACACTTAAATTCTATTGAGTCAGATGGATGTTATTTACACGTCAGATCAAGAAGAACATTTATTTTTATCAGATAACCTTTAAATCATCGAACACAAAAACATTAAATTAAATTGACCGAAAATAAACTTAAATTTACTAAAAGCGCCATCTCTTGGTGGTTTTCCAAATAAAACATAAGGACATAAAAACTGAATATTATACTAAATTCATTAACTGTTGATAATTCACTCTTGTTTATTCATAAAGACTGATATTCATACGACATATCCTAAAAACTACTTTGTTTCTATTACATTACCTTTATATTTCTCGTAAACATATTAACATCATGTCATTTACGTATTTAAGGCACCATCTTTTGATGTAAACCATCAAAAAGCTATAGGTGTTTTAATTTTAAGCTAATCAATAGGTATTATTTAACTGTATATTATTTAACTATTAGAATGATTTATTTGTCTATTGATTGACTTAGAAACTTTTACAAATCACAACAAAAACTGACTTTCTTAAAGTTGAGTTTTTTTGCTTCGACAATATAGACATCAATATCATATCATGTACTTAGAGTGCCATCTCTTGGTGGCTTTCCAAACACATATAACCTCAAAATGAATTTTATTTTGCGTGATAATAAGTTCTAAAACTCGGTCGCGGTATAATGAATACATAATGAGAATTAGTTAGTGACACACAATAAAACAAGTATTTTCCTATATTTTTTTGGCTCTGGGGCCACCAATGTATGGCAATGTCCTTTGAACTTTTGTAATCTAATGTGCAGTGTGTATCGCCAATTGATTAAAATAGCCATTCAATTGGACAGCTAGCCCTTTATTTGAATTACTAAGCGTAACTGAATGGCAGTACGGCTGGACAAATCTTAGCGAACTGGTTATATACCGGGCATATTCATTATTTTCTTACTAAACGCCAGACTAGAGGCAAAGGCGGTCATCGGATGGTGATCAATTTTTTTATAGTTTTTTCAAACTATTTGCGTACACTTTACTAAGCACGTGCATTGAACATTTTAAATGTCATAATGATTTAACCAGAAGTCTAGACATCCAATTGTATGGCTGGTTTAACCAGTTGGCTGCGACATGTAGATAGTAATTTTATAAACAATAATTTCTTAGGAAAATTTTACAGACTTCAAACAATCGTAATTGATTCGCTAAGAAATGATAAAATTGCACGAAAGCGAAGTCCCGGGCGAAAAAGTAGTTTTCATATAACTTAACATAAAAAAATGCAATTAAAGCTATAGATGGACTATTTAAATGATTAGAAAAATTAAAAGCTCACCACATCGGGATATTCTGGTATGTCATTTATAATTTGACTAATAGTTTTTTGTAACTGACGTGGTGGTAATGCCTGTCTCTCATTAATCTGCAATAAATTGGCTTGCTGCGCTGTAAATAGTTCAGCTTGTTTCCTGGACCAGTGACACTCATCTAAACTGCTGAAATAATATATACTAATAAATTAAAATCACAAAATTAAAATATTATAGTCTATACAAAACACAACATTAAATATAGAATTAATACTTCAAACGTCACATTTTACAGACTTAAAAGTTTTTAAAGTGAGTGGTTTTAACCGTTTTACTGTCATATTTTGCTACCGTTATCATACCCTAGCGCCAACGGTGTATCAGCGTAGGGTTTGGAAAGAGTGTTATCGATTTAATAGTAAATAAAAATATTATTGTTGAAAATCAAGAATTGTATACTTTACCTAACATTAAACGCACACTTGCATTTCGGTTTCAAATAACCCCAAAGTAATTGGAAAACAAATAAATTAATTTCACATAGCTAATAAAGTCTGATCTCCTTCTCGTCCTACTTCATGGGCAACCAACAATGTGCGTACATCAAAATTTTTGCACCATTTCAAAAAACGGGATATTTTTGCGTATCGCGGTTATCTTCGGGGACATCGGGACAGACAATCAGAAAACGTGATGTCTGGTCACGTTAAGCATTTGTGATCCCCAATTAAAGACAATAGATTTTATACTACTACTATACAAAAAAAAAGCAAATAGCATTATTGTTTAAGATGTTGCAAAGACAACAATTGCGAGATTTAGAGTGCATATCAGAAGGAAGATGAGTTTCTCATCTCCTCCATCACTGAATGTCAAATCTAACGGATATATGAAATACAAGCTTGCACACTCGATAGGTCCGTCGCATACTAACGTATAATTCTGTGAGACGCATGACGGATGACGCTTATGTCAGATTTACATCCGCTCTTACATGTAAATACTGCCGTCCCGAGTCTAAACTGCAGTAATAGCAAAAAGAGAAACCGAGAAGAACGCGCGTGAAGTTTATATGTTAAGTGTCTTTAACAAATCCGTGTTAATGATCAAATTTTGAATGAAAAGTGTAAGAAAAGTTGAGTACTAAAATAATTCACAAATTTCAGATTGAAAATATGCAAAATAAAGTAATTATAGGCATTATAATTTTTTTGCCATTATTACTACATCTTGTTTTTTGTTAAATCCTTTTTACACTATTTAAAATCCAATAAAGTGAGCTGTTACTGCATATGCAACAGTTTTGATATAATATTAACTATATAACTAGAATGCAGTAAGTAGGTCAAAACTGTTACTGCATGTTAGGTAATCTTTGCGTATTTTCAGGTAAATTTACAAAATTTGGCGCCTTGATTTTAAAAGAAAAAAAAAGGTACTAAAGGTACTGATCGCAGAAAAAAATCATAAATTAGGCTTATATGGTTTAAATTGGGCTTTCAGACGATGTGAAAAACTCAAAAAAGCAAATGTTGCTGTTACTTCAATTTTGGGTCGGAAGGGCAAAATAGCACCCTCGCAAAACTGAGGCGAATTTTTATAATATAAAAACTTACTTATCTTTATCTATTATGTTCATCTTCATAGAAAACTCATGAGACTTTGTTTCTTCAGGGTTTGACGATATTATTTGAAATTCCATATTATTAAGTTTCTGAAAATTATGATTAGATAGAATTAAAAGCGAAATGAAACTCTTTCTTCATTTACATTACTTCACTTAGATAATATTTATATAAAAAGAAAATAATTCTAATTCATTTTAAGTAAAGAAACAAAATATACTTATTTATGACGAAAAATATATATTTAGAAAAATTCTACTTAAAACACTTAACAGTCTTATTAATAAACAAGGTTTAGCGTTGGAGTAAATTTACGCTGAGACTTAGTATTAGCATGGAGTCTCATCGCTAAGTAAAAAATATTTGTTCTTAAAAACCACAATAGCGTTACATGTATCATTCAATATTTTACGTTTGTGAAAAATCCTGAATATATAATAACCAGTATAATATCTTAAAGTGAAATAATTCCTAAGCTCGGAAAAATTAAATAAAGGGTTACTTAATCTAGTTTTCGTAAAATTACAAATCGCACCAATTTTAGAGCAAAAGTATGCTTTAAATAATTAATTGTCTATGCAGAGATGGCGTTGTAAATGGCTACGGTTTTATTATTATTTTATTTAAAGCATTTTTTCTTGTTGTTTATTTTTTTATTGATTAACAATTTAAAACTAAAATAAAAGACAATAAACTTACATTTAATAGTAGACATAAGTAGACATAGGGTCAATTCGTCGACAGTTTGAATCTATATCTGTGTCATCAATCATCGGAATAGATTGCATACCTGCCCGGTAATATCGACATCATGAAACTTCTCACATTAATTAGTGGGGTCATATCTCCTGTCACTAAAAATAATGAAATTATTTTCCCAAATATCTAAAAAAGGCTTTTAAAATATAGTAAAATATTTTTTTCTAAAAGAAAGACTGCTAAAAGGTTCAAGTGAGACTTGACAAGAATGACGATTTTATTCAAGCACTTGTTTCTTTCGCTACAACGTTCTTTTTATGGGGTGCTACAAATCAACGTCATCTATTGACGTTTATGCGAAAATCTATAGAATAGCCAAGTCCAATTCTAAGTGTTGCTTACTCACTTACGGCATCTAGCAACGACTCAAGTATGACAAAATAGCCCGAAGAATGGGATGAGGCATCTGTATAGTTTATGTGTATCGGTGGTATTAGTCAAAATTCATATAATTAAACAGAGACTTAGCAAAGGTTAATCTAGTACGAGGTTCTATGGGAGTAATATTTACTCCTAGAAGGTAATAGGTTTGCTTATTCTCTGTATAATATGAATTTGGATTAATAACAAAATTTCAATTTTAGCGTTAATTTACTCTGATACTAAACCTTGTTTATTAATAACACTGTTAGAGTATTAAACCAACAAGAGTAGCAATCGGCACTTTTTTCAAGACAAAATAGTCCACCATCTAAGAAGGGGGCGAGGTAATGCACACTTAATAAAATGTTAACACTAATGCATTTTCGCAGCATGTCGCTATGAACGTACGCGCCAAAATTGTAAAACACTTTCATAAACTACACGCACACAATCACATTCACACAAGTGTACTTCTAGACATTTCACAAAAGAATCCGAAAAGTGTAGCTGATAGTGGTTTTAATAAAATATCAACAGATAAATTCGATATCGACATACGATTGTGATGTACACTGGTATTTTAAAAGCATGGCTAATATAGGAATTCCATATAACTAGAAAATGTAATTATGGAATAATATAAAAATTCGACGTTTACTTTTAGTTTCTACATGGTATAACAATAATATTAAGAAATCAAAATGCAAACATAAAACAGAGCACTATACTAATGCATTATCAATAATAATAATTGTCATTAACAGTAATGTATTTAAAATAAAATACATACATTATTAATACTCATTTATAATGCTTTTACAAAGTCAAAATTCATCATGGTTTAAAAATAATAATAACTGGTATGTCACTTTATTTCATAAATTACCCTATAGTAAGTTTTTGTGCAATATGATGGCATCACTTAAGAATTCTTAGTAATTAAATGTTTTTTTTTTTCAGAATATATTACTTAATTAAACGAAAATATATTTATAAGTGTAAAATAACATTATCCTTTACTGATCTGAATGATCGTGGAGTCTTTATACATTAAAGTATGCTACAAATAAGCATTTTTGTTGGAGCTCTTTCCACGGGCGTTGGAAAAAGTCTTATATAACGAGCATGCCCATTGAACATATACCTTTTACAGTGGGGTATGCATGCCAGTTGCAACTCATATAAGTTTAATATTCTAAGTTAAAATACAACTAATTTTTACTAAGTGCCGGATTAGCCACGTAGCAAAAGTAGCAAATGCTACGGGCCTCGCGCGTTTGCCAGCCCGTATGATCTGATCAATAAAGTAATTTTTCAAGTCAGTGTTATAAAATGCAAGAAATTAAATAAGCCACATTTCTGCCTAAACTCATATTTTTAAGTATAAACATAAACTGGCAAATAAAACTGCAATCACAGAATAGTTGTGTTGTGTTATTCGGAAAGCAAAGGACGACTTTTCTGTTTCGTTTGCAAAGTTACTGATTCCGATAATTGGTAAATAAAAAAAAAATTTTTGACCCTTGATTTTGTTTGAAATAATACAAAGTGTGTTTGTAAGGATTTTGTATTATTTCAATCAAAATCAAGGGTCAAAAATTTGCTACAAAATCAAGAGAGTGCATCTTTACTCTCGATGCCTATTTGTATGGGAACGCAAGCGCAAGTACAAGAGGGTCCAATTTTTTAAAAGTAGTAAAAACTGTGGTCTGCTTGTTTATTTTTAAATCAATTGCAATCCCTTTTAGAGGTATAGCGATTGTATTAACAATTTAAGGAATTTAAAGTCACAAAGTTGCAATCACTTTTGGTACCAATGTTTTGAATAATGAAACAATAAAAAATCAGTTAAACCCATTGAAAAATTGCAGTTATCATTCAAATTTTGTTTCACATTTTTTAATAACTTTCAAAGATATTTTGTTTTGTTTAGTCAATTCCAAGCATCAAATTAACAATATTGTTCATTAAATAACTATACAACAGTCATTATCGCAATCGCTATATGTCAAATGGTTATAGTATACATCATGATGTACGTGAATATCTTTCAAATGCGAAATTGAATTATTACAATAACTTTTAAAAATAAGAGAAATAGACCCCTGCCAAACAAACTTTACTTAAAAATAATAAAACGGGAGTGCTAAATATTTACCTCTTTACTGAATGATCTCATCATTAATCCTGGACGACCCCTCTGGTAATATAAACAAAATGATTTGTATAATGACACTACTTGCATGAATGTTAATTTGTCTAAGTGAAGCAATATTCTCCTTAGGTAGAAACCTGAAACATGTATTTAAATTTTACAAAAGAAAAATAAGAATTATACAATGCATTAAATCATTAAAATATTTCATTGATTAGCACAATGCATTAAATCATTAAAATATTTCAATATGACATCTTTAGGTCACACTACATAGAAAACATTATGGTGCATTTACACTGGTTGATGATATCTATGTATGGAATCCAGGCGAATACCATTCCACTCTTTATGATTTCTGTTATTTATCGAGCTTCCTTACTTTTACACTGCCCCACTGTCAATGCTAGGTATGCCCATGGTCCTATCATATATAAATGTCTTGTATACCTTGATAAAAAAAATAAGCTCTTTAAGTTTACCTAGAACACTGTATCTTGTAATGACACATGGATTGGTTTCATTTGGCTCTATCATCAGCTTATCTACAGTTGATGTAACACAATCCATTAGAGCACTAATACCATTAACATAAATATTTTGAAGTCTAACACAAAAATTCTGCAGGTGTACACTTAACAAGTTGTAGCGTCCATCAGTTAGCAGTGTCTCTAGCTCCTTGAACTCCATATCAGGACACTAGAAATATAACATATAACATAAAAATTATATATTTTCAAAAATAAATTTAAAACAATACCAATTTATAAAAAACATAATCTCACCTGTATAAGTTTCAGTGATAATATACAAAAGTCCTTTCTATATTTGGGTGCAACCACACAATCTTTATTTTGTTTTTCTGGAATTTGAAGATTATTCATAGTTAAATTGTAACAAAAATAAAAATTAATGACATAGATATACAATGTAAAATAAAATAGTTTATCATTTTTTATAGACTCTAATTAATAAAAAAAATAATAAAAAAATTGGCTTATATATATAAAATAAAAACAGACCAAGTAAGACATGTGCACTAAGGATTCCTAATGACAATCAGACAGTCAGACACAGACAGACAGACGGACGGACAGTCGAGTCGTAGTAATAGGGTCACGTTTTACATGGTATGGAACCTTAATTATGATCATATAAAATAAAATATTACTTAAATAATAAATGAATTATATCAGTACTGTAGTAAAATACCCATAGATACTGTTTCAAACTTACCTTCAATTTTTAAAAGGCCATACTCCCGAATGAAAGCTACAACTGCAATCTTATGAGGTGTGACATTTTCGACACTTCCCTTAATATTTAGTAGTTTCACTGGTTCTAAATTATCATTAATTAATTCCATATCTAACGCAGGAAATTTTCAATTAGGTTTAGCAATCACAAAGTAAAATAAAACTTTATACACCCTTACACAGGCTAATAAAGCGATGTATGTAACACAACCAAAACAAAGTTTCGTGCAGTTTCGTGTTTATAAAATTTATGTTTACCACAGATGTTTACGCACTCACACTAACTCACAGTCACAGATCACTAAGGGTATGTTCCGATATACACTGCGAGCACTGCGCAGTGGTCTTACTGCTGAAAAATCCGTTCCGTTATGGACTGCCCGTACACTGCTACAGTACCCGAGGGAAATTTATGACGTCATAAATTGCCGCCATATTTGTACTGTGAGCACTGGAGATTTCGAGGTAAGGTGCTCGCAGTGCTTTTGATCACGTGATCAGTCGAAATAGAATCAGAAAATGATAAGTTTCTAAATAAACAAAAAAAATACTTACGTTTATTATAAGATGGATTTAATTGATAAATATTTTTTTATACACAATTTTATAATATTTTCTTTTGAAAAGAGGGAATCTTTATATTTATATTCACCTTGCATTAACAAATTTGAAAATGGCGCCAAAAAATAGGATTAACAGTATACTGGACTGCGTTCCGTTTTAAAAAGTCACCAGTATAACTAGCTATAAAGGAACGGGCTTCCAGTATACTAAATTGACGTCATACTGTTCAGTGGTCGCAGTGTATATCGGAACATACCCTAAATATATAGCAAGCTCACAGTATTAATCTAAGTTCACAGATTTAGCCCACAGAACAATATAGTCGTTTAACCACGTTTGGCCTAATACAATATTAATCTATGAGTTTGGCTAAGTTTATGTAAAAAACACAGACCAAGAAGAAGATAGGTACTACGTATATAAGAAACTACCTACCGTTTTAAATTTTTTACCTCTATGGTTTTTTATTCTTCTTCTTCTTTTTTAATTAATGGCGTTGCCCTTGTGAATTTGGCAAAATTTCCCAGTATATTACACTTCTCCCTGTAGCAAGAATCCAGTGTTTTGCTCAGTTAATGAGGAAGTATTTAAAAAAAAAACATTAGTTCCCGAAATCAAACTAGATGACACTACAGTAATTTCTTGATTTCTCCATGACAACCCTTTCGGTTTTCTTTCATGTATAAAAGTAAATTAGTTTTTAAAATTCAATAAAAAAATCTTATTCTATCTGTACTTTTTCGTATTTGTATTAATATGTAAGTTTCGAACTTTGCAAAATTCAGATTTTAAATATGTTAGTAAAGGAACGGAAATGACTATCTTAGGTCCAATCGTTTCCTGCAAAAATCAAGTTTTGCTAGAGTCGCCATCTAGTAGAGGCGCTTTTTTTGTGCTTTCTTTTTTTTCTTAATACTTCCTCATTTTAGTATTTCATAAACTCTGTTTTCTGTATGTTGATAGTGAAAGTTGGTAGCGAAAAAGATAACCTCTAAAGTTGCCAATCTTAGCGGTGGGGTAGGTGGCGGGCGAAGAGAGTGCGACGACGCTATTGGCTAGTACAACGTAAAGTTGTTCAAACTTATATACAATAAGCCCGGTAAGAGTCTGAAAAATGGCTGAAAAAATAACACTCATTGCATTGTATGGGATTAAATAAATGTCAATTTTCCTGGCAAGTGGGCATTAAAAACGTGTTACCTACTCTGCGCAAAATGAAGCGTTGGAAACAATATATCTTCTCAGTCAGATATTTTGATTTAATATTTTTTTTTTATCTCTAATTAAATATTCTACAACATTCGATATAGTATACTGTTAGCGATGCAATATAATTTAAATCTCTTGCGAAACCGTCGCATCATTGAGCCATCTAGGATTAAAGCCGAATATAATTTGTAGAAAATAACATCTAGCGCTATCTAGATACCGACGACGGTACTTTTTCCAGTAACGAGAAATAGCATCAATTTTTACGGTCAATAGTGACATCTTATATTAAATAGCAATACCACGAAGAATGTTCTACTAGCATGGACTATTCTGGAAAGGAAAGACAGTGATAGCAATAGCAAGTATGAGACAGGGATGGAAATAGAGTCGAGTGTTTTCTACGTATTTCGGGAGCGAGAATATTTGAATATATAAGCGGGATCATGAGGCAGAGCAAGGCAATTCAGTTCGATTAGTATACAATTATACGTCGAATTCATAGTCAGGAAATTCTCTGAAAGAGGTAAGTGAGTCAAAACAAAACACATATCATAGTACCTTTTTTTTTAATTTTTTTTTTTCAATTGTTTTATCTTGCGATCAGTCTCCAGACTATGAGCAGATGTGGTGTATGCAAATAAACGGGTGGAAATATCCCTCATTAGGGATATCTTCCATATTGAAGTTATGGTTCATTGCCACCGAGTTCTTGGGTCCTGCGTCGCTTCAATCGACCGATACAATCAGGCAAAGTAAGCTGCACAGCTAGTTGGTTTGGATGGTTTTCCAATCTACTTTTGTATTTCCCAATACAAGCTTTTATCTCTTCCTTTACAGTAGGTAATTTTAGGTGATCGTGCACTTCCGAGTTCTTTATGAACCAGGGCGCGTTGCTGATTTGTTTGAGGATGTAGTTTTGTGTTCTTTGAATTTTTTCAGTATTTGAGGCACAAGCGGCTCCCCACAGTTGAATTCCGTAAGTCCAGACTGGTTTAATGATTGATTTATAGAGCAGTATTTTGTTGTCGATAGACAATTTGGAACTTCGGCCCAGTAGCCAGTGTAACTCTCTGTATTTAAGGTTGATTTCATTCCGTTTGCACTCAATGTGCTTTTTCCAGGTCAATCGACGGTCCAAGTGCAACCCCAGATATTTAACAGTGTCACTGTGTGGTAGCTGTGTGCCTCCTAAGTTCACTGGAGGGCATTTTTCCTTACGAAGTGTGAATGTGACCTGTATCGATTTATTGACACTTGCTTTGATTCTCCACTTGTCTAGCCATTTGTTCACTTCGTTTAGATTTCGCTGCAGTATCTCTGAGGCTTTACTTGCGTGTTTATTAGAAGCCAGTATTGCTGTGTCGTCAGCATAGGTTGCAACGGTAACACCGGCAGTTTGCGGCAAATCTGCTGTAAATATGGTGTACAAGACCGGACCCAGCACTGAGCCCTGCGGCACCCCAGCAAGTATATCACAGAAGAGTGACGTGCATTCAGACTCTTTTACTTGAAATATTCTGTCAGCCAAGTATGACTGCAAGATCCGGTAGAAAGAGTGAGGCAGGAACATTTTGATTTTACAGAGCAGTCCTTTATGCCACACTCTGTCAAATGCCTGTTGAATGTCTAGAAATGCAGTGGAGCAATATTCCTTTCGCTCTAGACTGTCACTGATGTGTTTGCACACTCTGTGTATTTGTTCAGTGGTAGCGTGCTCTGGTCTAAACCCGAACTGGTGGTCTGGCGTTACAGAGTTTTCATCCATCGCTTGCAGGAGTCGACGTAAAATTACTTTCTCCAAAACCTTGGAGATTATTGGGAGTAAGCTTATGGGTCTGTACGACGTCACTACATGCAGTGGTTTCCCAGCTTTATGAATCATAATTACTTGAGATACCTTCCACAGTGGCGGGAAGTATCCCAATCTGATAATACAGTTAAATAATGATGTCAGATAGGCTAATGCCTTTCGAGGTAATTCCGATAAGACTTTTTTGTCAATGAGATCAAATCCTGGTGCCTTCCTGTTTTCTAGTTTGTTGATAGTTTTACTGATTTCGCTAGGTGTTACCGATTTTAAAGGCAAATCCATTTGAAAGTCCTGTTGGAGAACATCATCTATATCTGCTTCATTTACTCCGGGAGTGGCTTCATTTGGGGTCAATACCTTGGAGAGGTAGTCAGCGAATGCATTTGCCTTTTCTTGTTTGGACCTAGCCCATTTGTTACCGTCTAGACGAAGAGGTGGCTTTGGATTGGTTGCTTGATTCATATTCTTGCATGCTTTCCAAAGTGAGTAGTTGGTATTTGCAGTAGCGGTTAGCGATTGGATATTTGCTTCGACTGTAGCATTTTCTGCTTCCTGGATAGTTTGTCTAAGATATTGCGTGTAATTATTCAATGCTCTTTTGTCTTCAGGATGCCGGCTAGTATGCCATACTCTACGCAGTCTCCTTTTTTCCAGAATCATGTCTTTGATTTCACGTGGAACATAGTTCTGTCTGTGGATTTTGTGACTCACTTCCTCTGTGCTCTGCCAGCATGCCTCCTGAACTGTGTGAGTAAATGCTTTAACAGCTTCATCTATTTCTTCCTCCGACTTTAAGGAAACCTTTAGTTGTAGAGAATTTTCAACCAGAATTCTAAATAATTCCCAGTTTGTTCGGTTGTTGTACAGTCGTGGTTTTGTGTGGCTGTCCATGACGTTGGTGTTAATCGTTAGGATTATTGGGATGTGGTTGGAGGAACTATCAAGGCAGCTATCAATTTGGTAGAATAGTCGAGAGAGGCCTTTCATGATAAAGAAGTCAATTACATCAGGCAACTTTTTGGGATCAGACGGCCAGTGTGTGGGTTCCGGTGTAGCTATTGTTCTTAGATAATTCCGATCAATACATTTTTTGAGTTCTCTGCCTCTTGTGGTTATAAGTCTTGATCCCCAGTGAACGTGTTTAGAGTTCCAGTCGCCCCCAGCTATGAAACGTGGTCCTAGGGTTTGTATGTATTTGGTGAATTGCTCTTCTGTGGTTCGGTGTTTCGGGGGGCAATAGACAGACGAGATATTGAAACTGCCGTTTTTGTCTTGAATATTGACAGAAGTAGCTTGAATGTGTTCTGTCTTAAACTGGGGGAGCTCATAATGTTCTATTGAAGATCCAATTATAACTGCTGTACCACCATGTGCAGTTTTATCCGGATGATTAGTTGTGTAAATATTGTAATTTTTTATATTTATTTTACTTTTGTTGGTAAAATGAGTTTCTGAAATTAGTAGAATATCAAGACCATGCATTTTTAGCAAGACTTCTACCTCATTCTTGTTGGGTGATAGACCATCTGTGTTCCATGCGGCTATTTTAAGATTTTTAATAATTTAGATAGTTTGTTTACCAGTGTTGTCAAGAGCCCCAGCATGTTGCTCATTTGTTGTAGGATGATATCAATTTTTTCGGACTGTTTAATGAATATCTCTTCTATTCTATTGTTGAATGATTGTTGAAAGATTTCTTTGTCTGGTT